TAGGATAACAGGTATACACCACAATGCCTGGCTTCCATATACAAGGGTGATCAAAACATATGATGAATGTTTAAATTAAAATTATTACAGCCAAAGACACATTGCCATAAATCCCCCTCCAAATACTTTCCCTTATTTGAAACACATTGGATCATTCTTGCCAATCTGTGAAACAGTTCTGGAAGTCCTCTTTTCTGAGTGTCTTTACAAGGTATGATAAAAATTACAGTGAATAGGGTTACGAGGTGCCACCTGATAGAAAGGCATGTTTGTAAAAACATTGTAGTATGTCTTCATGCACCTTGTTCACTGGACTTGGCACCATGCAACTTCCAGCTCTTGTTTAAATCCCAAATGATCATGAAAGTTAAACTTTTTAAATTGATTTAGGACATTGAGGCAGCCACAACAGTGCTGCTAAAGACACTCACAGAAGGACTTTCAGGGCTGCTTCAGAAAGTGGCAAGAACATGAGACAAATGTGTTCAGAGTAAGGGGGAGTATTTTGAGGGAGATGATGACAGGATGTCTTTTACCATCATACATTAAAAAATTTTTAACACTCACCATATTTTTGATCACACCACAGCACATGAGCTTTTCACTGCACACATGCTCTGAAAACTACTTTCACATGTTTTATTTAGTTTTTATAATTCTGTGCACTGGGAATTATCCCCATTTGCTGGACGAAGAAATAAACGATGAGAAAGGTTATTTTCTGAACATTACACAGCTTGAGAGTGGCTGAGCTTGAGCAGTACTTGGTTGTCTCCACACTGATGACCATCAGTGACTGATTGTTCTCTAGTCCTGCAGATGTGACTCTGGCTAAATCCTGCTGACACTGGGATGGAGCTTCAATTGATTATAAAAATAGTAGATCTGAGTTGCTTATTTGTCTTTTGTCATTTACTGCAGAACTAGCTAATAATGGATTTCTAGTTGTTGCTTATTATTCTATGTGAACTGATATTTCTCCCCAGAGAGGCTGTGTTTGTACTTAAAGAGCTTCTGGATTATTTGAATTTTACTAATTGAAGCATTAAGACCTTGGAAGAGATGGATAAATTATTGTAAATAAGATGCTTAAGTTGTATCTATTTTAGGCCCTTGTGACAGCCATTTATTATTGACCCCTGTATCTGGCTTAACGTGTGTGTGTGTGTGTGTGTGTGTGTGTGTGTGTGTGTGTGCGCGCGCGCGCACGCGCGCGCGAACTACTGGATAAAACTTTATAATGTATGTTAGGTTTCTTGGACCTCTGGCTTCTTTTACACTGTAAGACTGGAAATGGGGTGGCCCCTAAGTGCTGCAGACAAATTCTCACTTTTGTAGTTTGCCTATTGATGATCCTCCTCTCTTCTTCCGAGACCCCCTCATTTCTTCTGTGTGATCTTTTCTCAGTGTATATCATGCCTTCCCAGGAGCCGCGTCCGCGGGAAACTATGTCCCCCGGGAGTTCATGGTGTTCATATGAGTTCCCAGGACCCGACCATTCATGTTGGCTCAGAAGAAAGAGTTTTCTTACCTTGTTAATTTTGCATTGACAGCTGGATAACTGGGAGTTCATTCTGTTTTTTATTATAACTTTAGATGCACACACTCTACAAAGTTCATTAAAAATGACAAATTGCTACCCATTTCAATTTTGTGGCTTAATTTATTTACTAAGGCTGAAATAAGGCAGATACTTTCTGTATTTTAGATTTGACTTAGCATTGTTTTCTTTGACATTTTGTTTTCTCAAAGAGAATTATTGTTCTTAAAAATATGGCTCCTAAAAAGTCTGGGAATGCATCTTTAGTTCATAAGAAAAAATGTAAAATCTTCTACTTTACACCTTTCTTCTTATTCCTCTTTAAGGAGAGAGAATAAGCAAACTGGGTGTGGTTGTACCTCCCTGTACACCCAATGCTGTGGGAGGCTGAGGCAGGAGGATTGCAAGTTTGTGCCCAGACTGGACAATTTACCAATTTATTGAAAACCTGTGTCAAAATGTAAAAAAAATTTCAGAAGTCAGGGCATGTAGCTCAATGTGAAAGCTCTCAGCTTTTTCCCCACTACCGCTAAATAAATAAATAAATAAATAAATAAAGTTTCCAGATTGTCATATGTACACGTGAGTTGGAGAAACCTTACATTCTGCTCTTCTAAGTTTGGCGAACTGTTATTGATGCAGGGAAACAACCTACATTATTTTCCCTATCCATTGTGTATATTTCTAAGGCATATTTGTTAATATGAAAACGTCTGAAAGTTTCTTAAAATTGTCTTTTCTCAATAAACTTCCAAGGCTGTCTTGCTGGTGTGTGAGGATTCTATGCCGACGGTGTGCAGTTGTATTACTAGGCCTGTGACTCTCAAGTAGCTCATTAGCCATCATATCACGCAGGGTTTAATATGCCCTTCCCTGAGATATTTAATTTCCACGCTGGGGACCTGGCTCAGTTACTTAGAATCTGCCCTGGCAATGGCAGCCTAGCAACGAGGTGGTGCGCTGCCTACACTGGCCAGTGCTCTGGGCTAGAAGGTCAGGGGAGATGTTAATTATTTACAGTAGAGGACGGGAAGCTGCAGAAAAGCACATGGGCCTGTGTCTACTGGAGTTAAGTGCTTTTCATCTCAAGTGAACACAGGATGTCTTTATCTGAGGACTTGCAAGCATGCTGGTTAAATGACACTTTTCTTGCTGAGTAAAGAGCTATTTGTAAAAGCAGAATGACAATTAAATTTAATCTACATAAATCAAATAGTGCTAGGATGATTAATGTTTTTGTTCTGAGCTCCACTTACAGAAAAGAAATTACTGTTCACATTTTAAATATGGTGTCCAACATTTGTGATCTCAGAATGATTAAAGGCATACATGCACAGTTAGTGCTTAAGTCACATTTAGAAGTGGGAGGCATTCCTAGTTCTGTCGATAGTAACAAAGTGCTAAAATCAGACGTTATTATGTAGGGCAGAGGAAACTCTGGTTTCTCTGATGTGAAGGTGCATGCACCCAAGACCAAGCAAGAAAAGGCGGTAACATCTGTTAGGCACCAGCTGTGTGCCAAGTGCATTATGCTGCCTTCATATGAGGTAAGCACTTGGGATCCCATTTTACAGATAAGGTAATAGAGACTTATAGGACACTGCAGCTCGCCCAAGGTGACTCAATTCAGGACACTGAGGCAGCCATGACAGCACCACTAAAGACACTCACAAAAGGGGACTTCCAGAACTGCTCCAGAAAGTGGCGAGAATAATGAGAAAAGTGTGTTGAAAGAGAGTGGAGTATTTTGAGGGAGACTGATGATAATGTGTCTTGTACTCATATATATATATATATATATATATATATATTAAAGTTTTTAAACATTTACCATTTTCTTTTCTGTCCCACCACATAGTGAATAGGATTTGCTGGCAGACTGGATGTGGATTAAAAGAAAGAAGGCCAAGCATGATGTTAAGGTATTTGCCCCTAACAGCTGCAAACAGGATGGCTGGGTGCACTGATGAGAAATGGATTTTGGAGGGAGAGCCAGGCACCTCACTTTGCACATGTTGCAGCTTCAGAGGTCTACCGAATCTCCAAAGGGAGAGAGAACTAGCCACCCGCGCACCTCTTAATTCTGAGGGAGAAATCTATGCCGGGAATAGAGGTAGTATTTAAAGCCATGAGACAAGGAGTTCAAGTAAGACATGACTGTAGAGAAAATAAGGAGGAAAAGAAGCTCAGGTGCGGGGCTGAGGCCAGGGACATTCCAACGATGATGACAATAATGCATCTGGGCTCCAGGTCCATACGTGCAGGTGCTCACTCAATCCTTGCAGAGATGCTTTGGGATAAGTGCCCTCAACCTGATTTGGTGAAGGGGACTCCATTTTTCACAACGCTCAGGCATCTGTCCGAGGACACACAGGTGCATTTGTGCTCGTATCCATCTTACTTCAAAGTTTCCTTTCCTCCACCAGGCTAAGCTAGACACCTTGGCATCATTCTTTATCTTCTCTTTCCCATTTAATTAGCCTTCACTTCTATTCACATGAAGCTTTACAAACAGGGCTTGAACTCTTACTACTGCCTCCTCATAGGATTTCTGCCAGGAGACTCTCTCTACTCTAACCCATTCCTTATCTTCCTAAAGATAAAGCTGATCCCGTCAGCTTCCTACTTAGCCCTTCTATTAATTCGCCACAAGCTGTAATCCGGCTTCCTTAGCTGGGCTTATTGGGGCCTTCACAATTTGGCTCTGTACTCTTCTTCAACTCAGCTTCATGAACCATTGCTTCTATTTTGTGCCTTGTGGTTAAACCATCCAATGAAATATGGAAGATAAGACAGTAGGCACCAAGTCTTATCTCTGAGGAAACCTTTCAAGTATGATGCTTGCTGTAGGTTTGTTTTAGATGCTGTTGATTAGATAAAGGAAGTTCTCTTCTTTCTGCAGTTGCTAAGAATTTATTATTCCCATGAATGGATGTAGAATTTTTTTTTTGATACCGGGAATCGAACTCAGGACCTTCTGCTTGCCAGGCAGGTGCTGTGCTGCTGAGCTAGATTGCCAGGCCAGGGTGTTGAATTTTATCAACTATTTTTTTCTGAATCTATTTGACCTCATATTTTCTCTACTTTAGTTAATCACTGATTAATTTTCTACTTTGAAATTAACCTTATATTTCCTGGATAAACACAATTCACTCTTCATGTGTTATTCTTTGAAAAATGTATGTATTTTTAGATTCAATTTGCTAATATTTTGTTTAGTCTATAACCTTACTATGTGTGCAGTGGTGTAAGGGAAGCACCCTATGGGAGATGACCAAAAGCTACTGATAGGTAGGAGCAAAGCTTGATTTTCTCTTCTGTTAGGGTTAGGGCCACTGCATAGATGGCCAGGAATGGGGTGGAGGGGACGTCTGAAGGTCTGTCCTACTGTAGGAAAACAAACATTTTTTTATTGAAAACAAAATTCCATACTACTCAGTACAAAATCTGGAACAGATCGTATTGCTAGAACTCAAGAGTTTTAATAGCAGTGAAATACAAGTCTATATTTACAGTTAACCTATGTACGTTCGGTTTGCTAGTTTAAATTAGTAATGAATAAAGAGAGAAAGAAGACCCACGGAATCCCCCAAACACCCCTTCAGAGAGCTTTTCTATATCATTTCCATGTGCGACCCCACTATCTCTGGGGCTTTGAGTAGGCCAAGATTGATGAGGATGGTCTTTTCCAGTTCCAAATAACTGTCATACTCCATTTTTAATTCAGCTTCCATTTGTTCTTTTGACTTTTGGTATGTTTTCTAGGGGAAAAAGAAGAAATTATTATCATAAGGTGCTAACAGACAAAATTACCAAAGAATGACAAGGGGCTGTTTTTAAACACGACATAGCTGCTGCTATCTAGGACAGGAGGGCAGTCTGACGCCCTGGGAAGTTGGAGAATGGAAAAGACCGGACCCTCCAATACCTCGCCCCAAGATAAAAACAAAACACCTCTCTTCTACGCTTCTTCCCCATAACCCTTGCCTTCCTTATGTGGCCTGGAGATGAAATCATTGACTAGAGGTTGCAGAATTGCCCTAAGTCCCATACAGATGGTATCGCTTGTTGATCACATGGCAATAACTACTTTTCCCAGCTTTGGTTCTCCCACTGCAATTCCAGTTAGCAAATTGCCCGTTTCATATGCTGTTAGAACTATAATTACTGTCACCCTCTAAGAAGTGAACTGTGTCCAGGATCCGCGGTTGCAAGGAGACAGGTGTTTGATTGCCCTGGGGCTATGGGCCTCATGCCTGGCACCTGGCAGGTACTCATGAAGACCAGCCAGGCCGTGTGACCCACCCCTCTCCCTCTGCAATAATGCCAACAGTGAAAACTCACTAGCACTTTCTATGTGCCAGCCACTGGCTAAGTGCTATGAATATTTTAACTCATTTAATCCCACTACAATCCCGAGGTTCTTCGATATCATTCTCTTTTCCAACTAATGCTAATTGTTTTTCCTTAGTGACCTTTTTCATGTTCCAAATCTAACAGAGCCCTTTAACATTAATTCACTTATCCATGATCTCGTTCCAGAGAAAATTTGAGAAGTGGAGGCTCTGCTTAAAAGAAGGTACTGTGTCAAATGGAAATGATCTTCCAAGACGTTAGACAAGTTTTGGAAACTAGAAGGCATGATGCAGTTTCAAAATATGATTAATGCAATGTTCAGTCGTTTAAAAAATGTTTCACAGGCAAGTTTTTTGGATTATCCACAATTCTACATGCTTCAACTGCTGCAGATAATTAGGAATTGTTGCTATGGTACTTAAACACTTATAAAAACTGTGGCTAATTGCTGGCAAAGGACAAGAGTGACAGATTATCTCCTGCCACAGAATTTTAACCGATGTTTGTAAGTATGCACAAGGACAAAGCCAAGACCGATTTGTTTGTAGCAGTGGAATGAAATGAGAAGTTGATTAATTGGCATCCTTTTATACTTTGTCACCACTAAACAATGTTTTTGAGCTGAGTCCCACAGTTTTTATTGAACTAATTAGTATCTACAGTAAGAGATAATGTTAATCTATTTGCTAGTGTTACAGTATTTCCACATGCTGGTGCTTTTAATGAAGACACAAAGTCTCATGTGCATAATTATGTTAGAAGAGGCTCTGTATTTGGCTATAAGGAGACAACAGATGGGATCAGTGATGAAATTATTGGTGACAAAAGGGGAAAGGAGGGAATGAGCAAAAAAGTAGAAATGTTAAATGAGGTGATGTCAAGTGAGAAAGACAAAAGACCTGAATCCACAGAATATTTAAAAGCCCCAAATTCCCGTGGGTAAAGGAAGACCAACAAAGCCATGGAATTGATATGAAACAGAGAACGGCTGAGAAACAGGAGGGTAAAGGCTTTAGATCTTCAGGTTCTTTGTTGGTGGGATTTAAGATGGATGTGTCCTACACCAAATTCTCTATTTTTAAGTATCACAACTCCAGTATAACACAGTATAGTAAAACTCATCCTTCCTTTCTTTAATTTTATTTTTTTTATTATTTTAAAGAGAAAAAAACAAAAACAAAATAACAAAAACAAAACAATACAAAAACTATAAAAATGATACAGAATTTCAAAATAAGATGATAGGAAATCAACAATCATTATTTATTTTTTATTATTTTATTTTATTTTATTTTATTTTATTTTATTTTATTTTATCTTTTTGAGACAGGGTCTTGCTCTGCAGTTCTGGCTGGCCTCGAGTTCACTTTGTAGCCCAGGCTGGCCTCAAACTCTCAACAATCCTCCTACCTCAGCCTCCCGAGTGCTGGGATTACAGGCATGAGCCACCACGCCCGGCGATAATCGTTGTTGTATTACTTATCTTCAAAGTAGTTGCTCAGTTTACCAGATACAGGTATGCAAGATTGATCAAACAATTAAACATTAACTGTTCCTTTCAATAAATCAATAGAAGTTCATAGTACAATTATCTTAGCTACTATATATGTATATATATTTCCCTTCTTTCTTTCTTTTCTCCTTTCCTTCATTAGAGTTGCTCTTTCCTACTGAGGAGTTTCTTTCCCTACCACAATAACTATTGTACCTTTCAATTTTATTTACTCCTTCAGGTTCTCACACTAGGGAGACAATATGTTATTTATACCTGTGGGTCTGATTTATTTCACTTATGAGTATGGTCTCTAGTGGCATCTACTTACCTATAAAGCCCTCATCATGTTTCTTATCTATTTGTCATCTACCTATTGTTATAATTATACTAGCTCCCATTTGATGTCACTCAACTTTTTGTCAAGTTATTTAACTGAAACTTTTATAGCAATCATCCAAAGTGGTTGTCAGTATCCCATTTCCTAGATGAGGCAACTGAATCTCAGCCAACATGAGCACACTGCTCCCAATCTCCTAGTAGCTAAGTGGCAGAGGTGGGATTTGAACCCACATGTCATGATTCCAATATTCAACTCTTTTTATGCTACCTACCTTAATACATTATTCATCAGATATTAAAATTCTATGTTATGAAAACATTAAAATTTTGAATCATTATATTTGTACTATGTTTGAAACTATAGTAAGTAAACTGCAGAAACTTGAATTGGATGGAATATCACTAAGTGTCCAACTGGTAGTTCTCATTCATGATGGGATAAGAAATCAAGAAAAAAACCAAATGCTCTCGTGACTCTCATTAGACCAAGAAAAGGTTGTGATAAGCATAGTATTCCTACAGAATACTATGGAAAAGCCAGAATACATATTTTCACTGATGGAAAAAAGAAAACAACTTTCATTTCTGAAACTTACATGTTTTTTCTTTTCAGTTTCTAACTCCATTTCCTTCTTTTCTTGCTCACGAATACTTTTGCGCTGTTCTACATATTCCAGATGCTTGACTTCTCTATCAAAGTAGTAGTTAACACTTGATACCTGTTGGAAATACAGGTCCACAGCAAAGTCAACCCTGGGGAAGCCCCTGTGGTCTTCTTAAGGCCCTGTTAGACGTTCTGTTGCAGGAGGGTTACCTATCTCATCTACCCGCCTAATCCTCCTGGTCACTACCTGATCATTACCCCCTTTCTAATCATGGAGTAGATGGTCTACTTTGGTATACTGTACTTCTAACCCTTCAGGTGAATATAATTTGGAAATGGTGTCCATAGGCCCACTACCAGAGCAGCTGGCTCCAGTTTGAGGCTGCTGTACTTAGATTTACGTCCTGGGACTTGGAGATTTCTAGAAGAGGAGTAGGGTTTGAAGGAGGGAATTGTAAAAAGCAGAAACAAACAAACAAAAGACCCTGTAATTTTGTAGCAGAAACATTTGGGAATTGTTTTTTCCCATTTTCTTCCTCCTCACTTCTAAGACTGAGGGAAGCTTCATGTCATCAACCAAATGTGAAAACCCCGCTGAGGACATCAGTGGAGGCCCTAAAGGGACTGGAAGCAGAACTGAGTTCCCGGTTCCCTCGAGCACTTAGCAGGGAGGCAAAAGCACAGAGGCCCAAAGTCAGAAGAGTCCTTGGGGGAGGCCGCCTGAGGAGGGGGAGGGAATACTTGCTGCCTGCCAGTAATTGGCTGGTGCCGGGGTTTGCAACAGATGGCAATCTACATATTTAATGTTGGTTGTACATACACATATATTTCTATCCATTGATCTTTGCATAACCTCATTACTGACATTGCTTGGAGCGGGTACAGGGCTGAGGTGCAGAATATTGGCATTTCAGATGTGCTGCCTGCACTATATTAAGGTGGAGGAGGAGGATGGAAAGATGCATAAAACTGTCAGCGGGGCGCTCAGGGAAAAACAGCATGGAGATGACAGAGCTAAAATGTAGTTTCAACTTGCAAAGGACCTTCTATGATATAAATCTCCAAATCAGTTCTATCAGAGTCTAGGCTTCATTTATTTGGCTTCCTTTCCATCTCATGGTTGGGTTTTTTCCTAACTTCAAACTACTGAACTTATGTGACAGAAGTACATCCTTTTATTTTGAGTGCTTACGTCTTTTATTCTCTTATAAAGCAAAAATGCTGCCTTTTAAAAATATTCTAAGATATTCCCTGACAAGATCTGGTCACATCAATCCTCAAAGTCACAAGTTACTAACCTCATTGTTGGAAGGGTGACTTAATGTCCAAGGAATTTCTAGTATATGCAGTGTTCCATAATAATCAGCTATGGCTATAAACTGCTGCTTAGCTGAAAGATGAAATAAAAAAAACAGGGGGCAATATCAGCAAACAGAAAACTATCTTAAGAGGTTAAACATGAAGTGTGTTTTGTTTTGCGGTTTCCCAAAGGACCCGCTGTGGTTACAACGCTCTTGGCATTTTCATCAGATGTTCATGGTTGGACCAAGTAAACATGTAAAAGATATTTTTTCCAGTTGATGTGATCAAAGCTAAGACTCTGGGCCTTTGTTAGCCTCCCCGTCACCTCCAATCTTGCTTTTCTGGTGTCTGTATAAGGTCTGTAGCTGATGGCTGACTCCGTGGCTAGGCCTGCTGAGCAGACTTGTGAGCAGAACAGAAAGAGCACATGGAAAGTTTCAAAGAAAACTCATGAAGCACATTTTTGCCAAATGAAGTAAGGGCTAAAGGATACCATATTCCAGAGGAGTTTCAAAGACAGCCAGAGACACAGTTTTCCTATTATTGAAACAAATTACTTACTTGAAGCTTTTAAAATGGATAAAATATATAGATGCAATAAAAAATTAAAACATTTTTATCACGGTAAAAGAAACACTGCCATTAACCCCCACCCCAATATGCTCTCTTTGCTTTGAATAGACTTATCCTACTCGCCACTTTCTGAAGTGTTCTCGCCATATGCTGAAGTGGTTCTAGAAGTCTTTCAGGAGTGTTTAGTTGAGCTGTCGTGGCTGCCTCCATGTCCTGAATCACTTCAAAACATTTATCTTTCATGGTCATTTTGACTTTGGGGAAGAGCCAAAAGTCACATGGGCCAGATCCAGTATAAAGGTGGATTGGGATACACCATAATGTTTTTATTTGACGGAAATTGCTGTACATGTTTGATCAATGAGCAGTGATTAAAAAAATACAGTGAATGTTAAATAATGTATTATAATAAAAGACACATCGCCGTTACCTGCCCCCGCCCAAATGCTCTTCATCACTTTACCCACAGTTAGCCAATTGTTCTGAACCATGTGTCTTTCACTGAAATAATTTTAAGTTCTTTTTAACATTCACAGTATATTTGGATCACCACTTGTACAATGTGTTGGAGCATTTTAATGTTCTCTCTCATCAGAGAAAGTGATATTTTCCTCTCCTCTCATTTTCAGAGTCTGGTTCAAAGTTCTGAATCCCAGGCTCAGTCCCTGCAGGTAAGAAGTAATGTTTTGTAACAAAGATGAGAAAACACATTTTGGTGACACACATGTCTAAGCAGTAACTAGAGTGTGACACCCCACAGATTCTGAAGACTGAGTTTCCAAATCTACCGTTCTGAGAGAGAGGGATATGTTTATATATCTCTGGGAGAAAAAGAGCAAAATTCATTTAGGAATGGTTAACATATGGGATTTGCAAAAAAAGGACTATGCAAACCCCATAGTCAAGAGCAAAGGAAGTAAATTACTTTCCATAGACACACCCTTGAATTTTATGCTTGCATTGTCGTATAATGCTTTTTTCCTCCTACTTAATCCAAAGATGAAAGTTTATGGATAAATAATCCCAGAGAATTACTCAATCTCATGAAGAGAATTGTTTGCTATGGCCATGGGAGAACCAAAAAAGTGATGTAATGAAAAACATGTATTAAGATAAAAAGCTAAAGAAATAAAACATTCTATCCGGAAAAACAACAGCAAAAACTAGTAAAGATTTAGGGATCACCCTGTCAGACCTGGAGAAGACGAGGAGGATGTTTTCTATCGCATGTTTCAAAGTCAGACTCTCAGTTGATTCTTGTCTTAGAAATCATTGTTGATGAGTCAGAGCAGTGAGAGCAGCTCAGGCTGTATCCAAGATTTGAGAGCAAGAAGGTGGAAAGAGCAGAGGGAGAATGGGAAGGGGAAGGGAAGATTGGAAAAGAAAAGGAAAAGGACGGGACAGGAAAAGAAAAGCTGAGAAGGGTGAGATGGGAAGAAAAACAAAGCCCGGAGAAAAAACATCAGAGGCTTTCCTGATGCAAGTCTAAATATTCCCAAGTCATCTAAAACAACTTAGTTCATTTAATTTGCATAAACATACCAGAAAAGGTCCAAGGTTTAATGTAGGTGATCATAGTTATGCAAATGTTTTGTGACTGGGCTGGTTCATGGGTTTTTTCCAGAAGGTCCCAGATATCAACATATCCATCTTCTCGGCCAATATAGAAAACAGCCGGCCTTGTGAGGGACCAGTGCCCTGCGGTGTACCTTTTCGCAGCACAGCATGACTGAAGGAGGGGTCCAGACTTTGAACAAAATTGTAAAAACACAATTAAAAATTTTAGTTGTTATTCAAGGGAAACACACAACGATTTGAATGAAGTACAACTCAGCTGGCCATGATCTTTAATGCAAAATCATCCCACTAGAAAGTCTTCCTGCCTTTTGTCGTGGTGTTTTTAGATTAGGCAAGCCCTTTTCTTTCCTATTTGTTTTCATAAGCCATTATGTTGCTTGTTTTACTTGCGTTTTAGCAAAGACCAAACCTTCCAACTGAGCTATTGATGGTTCTAATAATTCAAATGCTTCTAACTTCGTCGCTACTTCTGTGAGGATCTTTGGGCACTAGATGAATGGAGACTTGCTTTTACTTCGGTTTTGCTAGCATGTGTCTGCTTCCCATGGAAACAGCTCTGGTGGCCCGTAAAAGCAAACAGCCTGTCAAGTCCAGTTGTGAACTGCATGTTGAAAATCAACAGCAGAGATGGCAAATTTTCATTAAACAATTTCAAATGGGAGCATCTGATGACTTACAAATATATTTGGAGGAGACTTGAGACCACAAAGGCATCATGGGATCGTCTTTGCTTTCCTCTACCATGGGCTAATTTGCCCACTTTGGAGGTTTTCAAACAAAAAGATTGGAATTTGCTTTCTAGTCACTGTCAGGCTCCATCTATCAACTAAGTGTGTGCGTGTCTACATCCACCTGCAGCAACTAAACCAAACCATGGAACCATCGTCCACCCTTCTATACATGTGTGAGGAATTTTGCTGTGGAGAAAGGAATGTTCCTGAGCTCCTCAGAAATGACACTCCAAACCTCCTCCATTTCTCCCAGTTAGTTCAGTTTCTACAGGCAGCCAAGTTCTTGGTCCCTGGAAAGTCTTTTGACAATCTTGCCTGAATTTTCTTTAACTGCAAAGCTTAGTAATTGTAAAAAAAAAAAAAAAAAATTTAAACACACAGAAATATATTGGTATAAAGTAGAAGTCTGTTTGTTGATTGACATTTAAGTAATTTCCAGTGTTTAAGTGACAAATTTGTACAAATACTCACACATTTTAAAATTTCCTTTTTTCAAAGTACTCATGTAAGTTAAAAATTTTAGAAGGTGAACCTATATATATATACATTCTAGCTGTGAAATACACACATACATACACCATTTTCAGCTTTTAGTAATCTCAAATTTCTCATCAGAAAGACAAATCAGTTTATATTACCACAAAATGTTCGATTTCCCTATGCCCTTGTTTCACTGGATTTTTGGGGTTTCTAGTTTTGGGTAGGTTAGCTTTCATCTGCCTGAATCCAGCCTCTTTCCTACCTCAGCTCTTGTTCCTACTGTACTTTGTCCCATGTACGTCTTTGGACAAGCTATGACCTCCTGGTGACAGACCCCTCAGCCTACTCACTCCTACTTTCTGACCCTGTCAATGAATTCCTGATGTAAAAGAAAAGATGTAAGGCCCATCACTTCTTTTTTGGGCTTTATCCCACAATCAGAGTCCTATCGTATATTTTAAAGGAAGGCAAAAACATAAGTCAAGCCAACTTCCCATGTTATGTATTTCCAAGAAAAGATTGCTATGTTTTGAAGAACAATGGACTTGCAATGTTGTTTCCTTCCCTTAGGAAAAAAGGCAAATGATTGTGTTTTCAAAAGGCTTACAGTGTTTCTGCTGACAAGCTGAAGCCCAGGCCATCTGTTCTCATTTCTCTAAAAAGTACCTCACAGGCACTGTCCTGTCACAACCAGCCATTGTTCCTATTCTCTTTCTCAGTAACAAAGGACCACACACCCACTCCCTCACTTTGCGGGCCACTTACCATAACACCTTCTTTCCAGATGGCTATATTCCATCCCCCAACGGTGAGGATAATGTCATTGTAAAAAGGTGATCTCTGAACAGTGTGAACAACTCCATCATGGACAGAATAGAGGCTCACTGGTTTCTTTGCTGGTGGAGGGAAAAAGGCCATTTTTGAATCTACCAAGGGATAGCTCTTCCTTTTTTTACGGAGAGTCTAGGGAACTTTCCATGAAGGCTACTTTGAAAGATCAGAGGAATATTCATGCTGTTATTCACTAATTCATTCAGTGAGTCAATAAATATCTGTAGATTGTCTATGTGTGCCAAGCACTGTGGAAGGCTGGATAAATAATGACCAGAAAGGCATGATCTTGTCCTCGTGGAGCTCACAATCTGGTGGGGGAGACAGCTACTCAATAAACAAGTCCTAGAGTATGCAATTAAATAGTATAAAGAATGTTATGAAATGAAAATATTACAAGAAAGAACAACAGGCAGCATTCATAATTTAGATAGACAGAAATGGTGTCTCTGAAGGAGTCATTTAGGGCTGAGTGCAGTTGGGCATGGGGAGATTTTGGTGGGGAGGAGTGTTCCAGACAGAGGGAAGGACACACACCATAGTCCTTGGTGACTTTGTGCACTTGAAGAAGGCAACAGAACTAGAATCTGTTAATCCCAGCATGAGACATGAAATGAACAGGATCCAGGAGGGCCCAGACTACAGGAGACCTTGCAAGAGAGACTTCATAGTCCAAGTGTAGTGTGTTTCAGTGAGCCCTTTAGGCCTACAGTGATACAATCTGACTGACATTTCCAAAGGTTCTCTGGCTGCTGTTGGAGGGGATGGATGCAGTGATGGTGAACCTTTAGAGCTTTCAATGACACAAACAGCCCACTGCAGCACCCGTGCCATAGGTTCACCACCACTGGATTAGAGGTCGGCAGAAGCAGAGGCAGACATCACAGGAGACTGTTCTGAGTGAACAATCAAGAAATGCTTGTGAATGGGGATGTGGAGACAGCCTGACTAGGAGAGTGAGAGATGATATGCTAAGGATAACAGCCATGTTTCTGACCACAGCAATGGGCTCCATGCAGTTTCCAGTTGTTGACTGGGGAAGACTTAGCAGGATGCAAAGCTCAGAGTTCCCTCTAGTCCCTGTGCCAGGCCCCAGGCTCTTTCTGCTGCTCTGGTTTCTTCAGCCAGCGTTCAGGGGAGTCTACTTGGGTTTCCTGTCCCTCAGGCCTGGCTGCAGAGTGGGATGCTCCACACTCCTTGTTGCTCACACCCACAAGTCCAGGAAAGGCCATAAAAAATATTCCTGTCAAGTCTAAACCACAACGTCTGGCTAACTGATACTAAAACCACTAACATTCTGAATCTCGTCCTCTAAATGGTTGCTTGAGGGCTGGTCTTCCCATGGCCCCCAGAAAGCTAATGGAACAGTAAGCCAAAAAAAAATACCTATTACATCTTGTGAGAAGCTTATAAGGTAGGGTTTTGGTAAGATAGTTATCCACCCATGTTCATAGCAGCATTATTTATCATTGCCAAAAGGAGGAAGCAGCCCAAGTGTTCCCTGACGGGTGAATGGGTAAACGTGGTTTACACATATAATGGAATATCATTCAGCCTTAAAATGGAAGAAAGTTCTGATACATGCTAAGACATGGATGAAACTTGAGGCCAGAGTGATAAATGAAATAAGGCCAGAGTGATAAATAAATATTTACCGAAGGATAAATACTATACGGTTCCACTTACCTGAGGTACCCAGAGTAGGCAAATTTAGAGAGCTAGAAAGCGGAATGGTGATTGTGAGGGTCTCACAGTGGTGCGGAACCTATGGCATGCATGGCACAGTGGGGTGTTGGTTATCACTCTAAAAAGTTTTCCATTGCTGGTAGGGGAAAGGAAGAATGGGTAGCTCGTGTTTCATGGGTGTAGAGTTTCAGTTTTGCAAGAAGAAAAGAGTTCTGGAGTTTGGTTACTGAACAGTGTGCGTGTCCTTAATGCTGCTGAACTGTACCCTTGAAAGTCATTAAGATGGTAAATTTTATGTATATTTTACCACAGTTTAAATTTTTGTTTCTTAAAAAAGGGAATGAGGCACAAATACATTTTAAAATACATTTTAAAAATGGCATAATACATTTAAATACATTTTTAAAAAAGCATAAATACATTTTAAAAATGAAGTTCTTCTGGATTTTTTTAAAAAAAGAGGGCCAATTTCCCACTGACCAAAGTCATCTTGAAGTGAACTAGAAGATTCCTGGTGTCTTACTTTTCTTGTTGTTGAGACAAAATACCCAAAGTTAAAGGAGGACAGGTTTATTTAGCTCACAGTTTGTGGAGGTTTCAGTCCCTAATCAGCTGGCTCCAATGCAGGGTGGCTCATGGCAGGGAGCAACAGTTCATGGTGGAAGAAGACAGCAAAAGCAACAAGAGAGACAGAGACAAGCCTCTTTCCATCCCTCATACTGTATCCAGTCTACCAGGATTAGGGCAGTGCCAATCCAATCAGTGGACTGATCCCACCCTTAATCCCAGCACCCTTAATCCCAGCATTGCACTATGAAGCCATCACACACTCTAGATTCAGACACCTCTGAGAAAACCATATGTCTGCGTGACGCTTTGGGGGGACATCCAGACCCAAACCACAATGTCTGGTAAGGTACAATACCCACAAACAAGCATCTTTAATCCTGGAGCACAGTCAGGGCCCTCAGGGTTAGTGACTTCCTGAGACATCACCTGACCCTCGTGAACAAGGCCTTCCCAGAGTTTGGAAACTGTACTGATTGCCAAGGATAGCAATGTCAGCCACTAGAAGGTTTGTTCTTTAAAACAGAAGCCCACTTCATTTAGTCCTTTGAAAGAGCTGTAAGCCATTCAACAATGAATGCAGCTGACCAAAAATTACTAAATGAAGCGCCAGTGCATCAAGGCCAGGTGGTTATATGGCAATTACAATCAACAAAAGGCAGCTTTCCAGAGTCATTATCTAATACAAGACTCTGTACAGTAAGGTTTTTAAGAGCACAGACGCTGAGGGCAGACTGCATTGCCACCTGCGGTAGCAACCCCAAAGGGCAACCTTGAGGATCACAACAGGAGCCAAAACAAAGAAAGTGCTTGGAGGAATGCCCAGCACATAATGTGCTGATTTGATTTGAGAATTTGAGACTAGACTACATGAAATGATTATGTCACTTGCTGGCATTCAAAGTCTGCATTTTCTGGCTTGTCTCTCAGGTCGTCTGGAAATGTGGTTTGATTTGGCCTTCTTTACCACATACAAGTTTCTCCTAAGGAGAAGAAATTCCCTTCCTGCCTGGTTGTGCATTTGAGATAAGCAAAAGGGGTCAGGAGGCCTCCATGGTGCTAGTGGAAGTTATGGGGCTGGGAGCTCCCAAGGAAAACACCTTCAGTTCACTGAATGTAAAGAAGGCACGGGGTTTGCAGTGCAGGGCATCCATGCATTGGCTTTCCTGGTACTTCGACCATTATTCAATGGGAATAAAAGGTGGCTCATCTTTTCACATTACAAAATACTTGACTGATGATTGCAACTACAACCGTAATCCTTTATAGTCAGTGCTTAAAGCTATTCCCATTTTAAAAAAATGAACTAAATGCCAGAAAATTAAAAACAACTGCTCTTTGTCCTGACCACCCACATCCTGTTGGCCTATTGATCCCCCCACCTCTCTACCCCACATTTTCCTGGCTACTTGTCCTTGTCACCATGCCTGTATTTCAGTTCTTACCATCTCTCATCAGGGCTATTGTAACTGGTCATTCTGTTTCCATTACAAGCTCTAACAGCAGACTAATCCAGCCCCTGCTGTCCTGCCAGGGTAGTTTCTGATTATATGGGTGGCTCTAGAATAAAGTCTACAGTTATTTGGAGGACTCTCTAGGCTCTTTGTCATCTGGACCCAAGCATCCTTCATGTGAGCTCTCCTGCTGCTGGTGTCTCTCCATTGCTGATTTGTCCAGGAGATCTCCCTGTCTGCTAGCTGTCCACTGCTCTTTTGGGCTTCCGTGCTTTTGTCTTTGCTTCTTCTTTTTTTTTTTTTTGGTTTTTCTCCGGTACCAGGAACTGAACTCACGACCTTGCGCTTGCCAGGCAGGCGCTTTTGCCGCTGAGCTAAATCCCCAGCCCCCTGTCTTTGCTCCTTCTACCTGGAGTGTCATTCCGCGTCTTCTCTATCTGGAAATACTGTGTCACTAATAGGAAATTTTCTTAACAGTCCAAGAGAATCAGTTCCTCCCTGGATTCCCACATCGGTTTGAGTTTGCTTACAGCACTAGTGACACTGTAATGCCACCATTTGTTTATTCGCCTGAATTTCTAATATGCGGAACACCGTTAGGGAAAAAGAATATCTTAGTGATCTTTGTATCTCTAGTACTTGACACATAGTAGGTTCTCAGTAAAGATCTGATGAATAAATAAAAGAAGCAAAGAACAAATCAACATCACTAAGGTTTCCAACATAAAGCTCTTGGGTTTTAAGTTTATTATTATTGATTATTTTATAAGTGGAATAAAATCCACTTAAAATAGATCTGTTTATCACAGGCTCCGTCAAAAGCAGTCTAGGAAGCTGACTGGAGGAATGGGACTGGAAGTCCAAGAGAATCTCTGAGACCAGGGGGCATCGGTGTCTATGCACAACCAAGTTCTAGCATCAGGCCCTAAGCTTGTGCCCCAAGGGTGAGGTGAAGATGATCCCTATCATGTTATGCAGTGTCTGATATGCAGCATATGCACTATTAACATTCATGAGCTACTGAATCAATGGATGCATGAGCGTGAAAGAAGTTTCACGTACTTAACTATATCAAATATCTAATTTTGAGTTCAACTCTAAGTCATGGAATTGAGAATGAATGGAAAAAAGGAAGTCTGTTTTGTGTGCACTTGACCCTCTTTCATCTTGATACCCCACTGTTAGCCATACCCTACATTTGGGTTTCTGGCCAGGGAATACTAGAGAAGAAAAGTACAAGTGCTTTTGCTTTAAGAGGAAATGCCTACCCTAGAGGCGTGGCCAAGAAGAAAGCATTCCCAGATTGGAGGTTGACTCTGGTCTCTGGAGCCATACTCAGTAGAACTAAAGTGTATTGGGTGTGTGTGTGTGTGTGTGTGTGTGTGTGTGTGTGTGTGTGTAAGGTTTGTTTGTTTGGAGATAGGATCTCACTATGTAGTTCAGGCTGGCCTTGAACTTGCTTATGTAGTCCAGGCTGGCCCCAAACTCATGGCAATCCTCCTGCCTCAGCCTCCCCAGGGCTCAGATTACAGGCATGTGCCAATATACCCAGCAAGGTTTGAGGTGAAGATGCCACCCCCAATAGCTGTCCCCTGGAGGTTGTGGCTCTGACTCACTCTCCACTCACCCCAACCACCCAGAGACTGACTAGATCCTCTTCTGCAAACAGCTGCTTGTGGTCATTCCAAACTTTGAAGAATGGTTCAGATAAGTTTTCATGCCATGATCAAATTCAAAACTTTAAAGTAGCTGCAGTTGTGAACCCCAAGGCTCTGAGCGTATTAAAGATATGAAGTCAAATTTCTTTATCCGAGTGCTTATTTTCTTATTGGGTATGATTCACATACCTCTGCTCAGCTGCCCAGAGTTCAGATTTCCTAAGATCCTAGGAAAAATACCTGGGAGTCATTTTTCAGTTAAATTGTTCAAGCGTCTCATGATCTAAGCTTGTGTAAGTCAGTGTTCTACTTAGCAAACCTTATTAAAATCCAGATTCAGGTTTAGCAGCCCTGGGGTAGGATCTAAGATTTTCTTATGCACTTCTAGCAAGGTTCCAGGTGACAATTATGCCACTTAGTCAAATCCCTCCCTTTGGGGAGCTGGTGTCCTTCCCAACACCAGCAGGACCAGGACTGGAGTTACTTAGGATGCGGATAAGATTCCTTCAGGTGGTTTAAATTTAAGGACAATCTTACGAAGACAGACTAACCCACAAACTTACCCATCATCCTGCCGGTGTCAGGATCTTTTTCCATTTTCCAATCTGCGTACATCACTTCACCTTCCTAAAAAATGTTACAGGTTCCTGATGAACACAGTGACAACTTCAAAGAAAAAGACCTCATGTCCATGTGCTAAGACTGATTATAACCAAGACAAAGCAACTGGTCAACATGATCAAACAATAATTTGACATAGTGGGAAGAAAGGCCTCAAAATCATTACTGGACTTGACTTTAATAGGGCAAAAAACACGTTGTTTTCATCTCCATACAGTGATGTGGAGAATATGGGTAATTATGGAAATATGTATGAGACTCCCAAGTGTTCAGTTGCCAAAGTTTTCTTTATCTCCAGACAAATCTTAGTCTTCTATAACTTCACAATATTGTTCAGCGTATTACTTCTGCTTGAAACTTTACTCCCATCCCGATCTTTCAAATTTCTTTTCAATCACTAATGTCTAGTCCACTCCTGGTCACCTCCGCATCTTCCCTTCCTCCTCCTTCTTGTCCTGGTGGCCTCTCGGTGGGTATTGCTGTTATCACACTGACACTGTGCACTTCTTAAGTGGGCAGAAAGTGCCTGCAGGACAGAGGGACTGTGCTGTGCATCTGCTGCAGGTGCCTAGCTCTGTGTTGACAGCCGCTCCACTCTCCAGAGTCTGGCATTGGTTCATTTCAGACTACACAGTGTGAATGCAAGTTACGTTCTGGGAAGTCTAAGCTGTTGCTTTGCCTGAGAGGAAACCCTTTACTTCAGGAAATGAGAGTCATGAGTGAAAAAGAGTATCTTCTCTCTTTTTGTCTAAGTTTAGGTAAGGTTCTAAGAATTATTTCTTCAACCATAAATGGGAATAATAATGTCAACCTCACAGGATTGCAGAGATTAAAGGAGATATAATTAGGAAGATATACCTGGTACGGGCACTGATAATGTCCAATGCATATGTCTCATAATAATGTCCAATGCATAGGAACTTGCTTTGGTTATTATTATAATAGGTGCTGAAACATGCTGATCATTATTGTTATTATGCACATTGTTATTTTTTTCTAAATTGAGTTTGTCACTCTTATACTAACTTGTGTTAGCCTAGCAAAGCAATATATTTTGTTAGTAATTCTATATTGCTTAGCATGGTTCCTTCCACACCATGCATATATTTGTGCAATGAATATTTGCAGATTGGTCAGTACTTTACTAGTTAAAAGCATCCCTACTGTTATAGATGTTTCCATGTTTGTAAAGGAACTTACAGATGTGAATCTATGAAGCATAAGTTTAAAAGTCTGAAGTGCAAATAAGCACATTAAAACATGAAATTGCATGAGTATTGTAAACCATAAAGCAAACATGTACAGCGGGGTTGTAATAATATATGTTGGTGTTATTAAACATTCATTTTAGAAACAGATACTCCAATTTACCTCAGTTCCCACAAAGAACTTGGTGCAGAAGTCATCGATCGGCCTGAGAAGATTGGCTAGCCCAGCTTCCAGATTGTGGTACGGGTTCATTTCTATCACTTTGGTCTGGGCTAACATTTTGTCTTTCAGAGGAGAATGGATAGAAGAAGTAAATGTTTACAGTAAGAGACCTTTTAAAATATAGATAGGTTAGCTTTTATGTCCCTTGCCACACACATCTATCCATATTTGTCCTTTCCCTTCCTAATGTGGCAGGCATAAGTATAAGTACTTTTAGACGCTAAGTTAGCAGTGGAACCCTTTTTTCAAACAAAAACATCAATGACTGTACCATACTATATAATACAGTATAGATAAAACTTGTTTGTTTAAACAACTTGATATCATTTGTTTTAAAATAAACTTTTATGAGTCTAAATGAGTATTATTTATTGAAGTTTTAGAAAATAGAAAAAATATGAGTAGAAGAGCAAAAGCACCTATTATTATGCCTTCTAGAGATAAGCAGTGTTTTTCCCTCTACTCACTTTTCTGTGAATATATAAATTTTTCTGAGACACAGTCTTGCTAGGTAGTTCAGGTAACTTTTACTTTTTCTTTTTGGTACCGGAAATCGAACTCAGGACCTTGCACTTGCCAGGCAGGTGCTTATGCCACTGAGCTATATCCCCAACCTTGCTAGGTAATTCAGACTGGCCTTGAACTCACTATGTAGCCCAGATTAGATGTGAACTCACAGCAATCCTCCTGCCTCAGCCTCCTGAGTGCTGGGATTATAGGCGTGAGCTACCATGCCTGGATCATATTTTAGGTTTGTTTGTTTGTTTGCATTTCTGTTTTCTTAAAGATATGTCTTAGGCATTTTCCAGGTCATCTGTTAGTTTTCAAAGATACTAAAAATCTAGGAAAGATGGTAGAGATGTTCATAAAAATTTCTTATCACCCCCTACTCAACAAGTGCTCTGGAATATATTATCCATGGGAAAACAACAAGTATAAAAACCAGTCAACAGACAGACAAACAAAAACTAAGACAGGGCCAAAAACTTCAGCTATATCAAAGATGAATATTACATTAAAAACCATTAGCATAAATCTGTACAAAAATTAAATTATTATCATGATTTGTTTGTGCATCTACATGGAGTGAGAAGTCTTTTTTCTTACTAGTTAAGGCATTAAAAACAAGTACCAAAACAAGACAAACACATAACTACTTAAAGAATCTGTATCTCATTTATTTATTTCTGCTTTTTTTGGAGACAGGGTCTTGCTATGTACTTCAGGTTTGCCTCTGAACTCACTATGAAGCCCAGGCTATACTTGAGCTCACAGCAATCTCCTGCCTCAGCCTCCTTAGCATTGGGATTATAGGCATGTACCGCCATGCCTGGTAATAATTTTAAATAGCTGTATTCCCAAGTGTAAATGAACATTTCAATAAATAACTAGGCACAATTATATTATTCTTATTAAAAGGTTATAACACATTTAGGAAAAGCAAATAGGAATGTTGTTTCTATCTATTTATTTTTGGGTAATGGGAATCGAACTCAGGACCTTGAGCTTGCCAGGCAGGCACTGTGCCACTGAGCTATATACCCCACCCCCATAGTATCCATTTAATATTAAAAGATCATCAAAATATTTCAGATTCTAAACTCTTATTTCTGCTTTTCTTTTTCAAAATAATGTGTATAATAAGTATATCAGTAGAGAAAGAAGTGTATAAGTTGTAAATGTAAATGTGCACTGGAAATTTGTACTAAAAATGTCTATCTATGAAGTGCAAAACCAAAAAGTTCCGAGGCCCCTGGCCTAACAAGGGAGACCCTGACTTATGGAGTTACCTCTGGTAAAGAAAAACAAGAGGCACCTGTGAGATATGTTTCAAAAGAAGATGCGATTATTTTGAGTGAAAGACTGGAAGCGGGGGCACAAGGACAGAGGTAGCGATGGTTCAAGTTAGGAATTCAGGTCTGCACACATTGACTCTGAGAGGGTAGATCGGGTTCAAACTGAGGAGACAGTAAATGGTCAGGTGGAGAATTCTCAGCAAAGGTGAAAGGTAGACCACATTACCCAAAGCAAAGTGTATAGCGGGGAAGCGCATAGCTAAAGGTAAAGTTGGGGTCGATTCATGATCAGAGGGCAGCAAGGAAAGAAAACAGAGGAAGACAAACTGAAGAACTAACAGGACAGGAAAACCACAAGCGCTAGTGAGAGTGTGAGTTCCAAAGCAACAGTGTTTTAGTCAAAGAGGAGGAGGCCAGAGAAAAACGTCATCAGCTACATTTACTCAAACTTGAGTGAATGTACTTTGGATATTTAGTAAATTCAAATCATCTTCCCAGGTCGCGGACTTTTCACTAGTGGGGATCATAATGCTAGCAGCTAACATTTACTGAATGCCTACTACAAACCAGGCACCAAGCTGTGGGCTTTCACGAACCATTTCATTCAGTCTCTACCCAGGTCATTATGCATTCATTCTCCTCCAAGGCTGAGTAAACAGAGACTCAGAGAAATTGAGCAACTTGCACAGGGTCTCCAACACAGTGGTTAACACTTATTATGAGTTAACTATTGAGTGTGCTTCTAGCTTCATGTATATTAACTTTGTTTACCTTCAAAATATCCTATCAGATAGTTACCTTTATCAATTACCCTCTTTATATTTTTATTTTTAGAAAGTCAAAAGATAAATGAAGTCACAGAGAGGTAAACTAGCAAGTCCTGGCCAAATAACAAACTGTGGTTTTGGGAGTTAAACCGAGACCGGAATCTAGACTCAACCACCATGCCCCATTGCTTAGAAGAGCACATATATGGCAGTCCCTGCAGGTTATTCCAAAAGAAGGATTCCGAAACCATTTAGAGCGAAGTCTTTCTCACTAAAGTAAACATAGCACTTCTTTAACTCATTACAGTATTTAGAAAGGTGATGCCATGGACCTAAAAAGGCAGGCAAAAAAGGTGAGCAGTTCCTGGCCACTAGATGGTGACAGAGGACCAGGTCTGAAGAGAAAAAGGTGGAATGGCTAGGACTTGGGATCCCCAGTCAGTGGAGAAGCAGTGCTGGTTCAGTAGCAGAATATGATCAAGAAACTAGTGAATGTGTTCTTGTTAATAAGCCCAAGGATGGTGAGAATAAGTGGATACCTGGCCGTGCACCTGAAGGGGACGCAAAATAACATGAAAGTCTTCCCAGGACCCAAGAAATAACAATATGGTGACTGTCTTTAGAGATAAGACCTGAATTCTGTCAAATATTTTGAGTGTTTAAACAGCTATAATGTATTGGCTACAACCGTCATAGCTATTATAAAGTCCCAACAGTAAGGGTTTGATTTTTTAAAATTCTTTTTATGAATTAGACTGCTCTAGCAAAGAAGTCATCGTAGCATAAACAGATGTGGAATATTCAAGCGATTAAATGCCTTCTTAACGGCTAGAGGCAGTTGGTTACCTGATATTTTGGGAAGAAGCTGTTCGTCACTCAGGCTTATCCTGGTTGGGCAGTGGTCCAAATTTGTTTCACCCTTAGATAGCTTTATCTTGTGGGAGAACACAGAAGAAAGACATATCCTTAAATTAAAGGACAATATAATCTTAAGATGCATCCTTAGCCTTACAGAAAAGTCCTCACTGATTTATTTTTGCCTTATTCACCAGTGGTACCATGCAACTTCTGGCTTGTCCCCAAAGTCAAAAGGACCATGAAAGGCAAACATTTTGAATTGATTCAGGACAGGGGGCTGGGAATTTAGCTCAGTGGCACAGCGCCTGCCTGGCAAGCGCGAGGTCGTGAGTTCGATTCCCGGTACCGGAAAAAAAAAACAAACAAAAAAAACCCAACAAAATGAATTGATTCAGGACATCAAGGCAACCCTGATGGCGCAACTAAAGACACTCATCAAAGAGGACTTCTAGAAGAACTGCTTCAGAAAGTGACAACAATGGGAAACGTGTGTTTGAAGCAAAGGAGAGTATTCATAGGGAGATTAATGGCAATGCATCTTTCATGGTAATGGTTTTTTAAAAATTTAAACGTTAACCATATGTTTTAATTACATCTTATGTTTTCATCGCTCCGTGCTCTTCTTTCACTGGAAGCAAATACAATATTTAATAATGCGGTTCTTGTGATACTTAAAAATCAAAAAAATATTAAGTTTGGAATTAAGATCAGACATTCTAAAGAAAAAGTGTGTTCTCACGTTCTATATGCTTAGCCCTCCTGTTCTCAAGGTAAATTGCTTTTCTTCAAGCTCTGTCATTCAAGAGAAATACAAATGACTGCAATTCAATTACTTCTCAGTTCTATTTGGTCAGAGGTTCCAATTATCGATATGCAAAATATGCAGACTTTTGACCATAGTGGGATGAGCGAATCAGCTTTTCTGGGCTTACCTGAGCACTTAGCGAATTTTAAGCGTCTGATGTACGACTGAATAATTATTACACTGACATTTGCAATCTGTGGTTTGCTTATACATGAGATCTCAATCTCAAATTCACAATTATGTTGACTTCTGGTTTAGTCTAGGCAGGTATCAAAATAACCCTCAGTCAAGGGATTTACTAGTTGAATAAATACATGAACAATAAAGTCCTGTCTTAATCTGAACTCCTCTAGTTTTAGAGGATATGTAGACGTATGTGTATGCATGCAAAATACATAGCTGTGCAGGCAAATAGGATGGATCTAACTCTTTGTTGCTTACCCTAGTGAGAGGTTTCCAGGAGAGATCTAGGTGCAAAAATGTAGCCGGTACATCAAAAGGAATTTCAATAGTTTCTTCTTTCTTTTTCTCTGTTGGTGTGGGGGTTACAGTTTTCAGTGGCCTAATATCCCAGAAACATATTGTGCTAAAAGAAAGTATACATGGATTTTTTTTTTTACTAAATACAAATGAAAGGTGTAACCACAGGACCATATTAGTGCTGCTACACATTAGCAAGGTGACCATGACTGTATTCTAACGTCTCTGAAAGTAAGATGCTTATTAAGGGCTGTGCTGCATTTGATATTTTAGAGAACGATACCACTTACAGGGTTATTTAATGACCTTTGTCTTGCGGCTAATATTAGCATATATGAAAACGGAATTTGCCAAATGATGTGATCTTTTTTTAATATAACAGATTTATTAAGATGTAACTCAAAGGGGCTGGGGATTTAGCTCAGCAGCAAAAGCGCCTGACTGGCAAGCGCAAGGTCGTGAGTTCGGTTCCCGGTACCGGAGAAAAATAAAAAACAAAAAACAAAAAACAAAAAAAAAGATGTAACTCAAAACTCACCCACTTAAAGTGTATCATTCAATGGACTGCTCAGGTCTCTCCTGCCATGGCTACTGCTAAGGTCACAATGCCTTCTCCTACCACTCCACGGCCCCTTCTGCTGCTACAGCTTCTATAGTCTAAGGTGTCATTATTTCTACTGGGATCAAGTGCTGTTTTTAACAGGAGAGTTTCTCTAGTATTTGGAGGCCAGATAAATAATATTACTTTTTATATTTCCTACACTGTTATGAACTCTTAGTTTTATAAACTTAGAGACATAATTTTATTTAAATGAATATCCTTCAATATAAGCTACCAAGTTCTTTTTATAAAACACATTTTATAAATGTACACTAAAAATGTAAAAACTTCTACTTTTTAAAAGAATCCTTCCCAGTTAACTGTTACAAACTTCATAATTGTGAGATAAAATTGAATTTGTAAATAAGATATCATGCAAATTTAAAAAATATGAGAATGTGAAATAGCAGAAAATAAGGATAATAATACACAACATCATCAACCAGGAAGCTTACTTAATATTTCCCAACATATTTATCCCTACAGAAAAGATTGTTTTAGCTGGGGATACAGCTCAGCGGCATAAGCGCCTGCCTGGCAAGTGCAAGGTCCTGAGTTTGATTCCCAGTACAAAAAAAAAATTGTTTTATAACAGCAACACCCTATAACCAATCTATCCTTTAGTTACATTGAATTTAATTGCTGTAGTAAAGATTATTTAGGGAACAGAAGACACTGATTTTAGGAACATCTTAGGAACTACACATTGCATGAAAATATGTTGAAGCTGGGAGTGGTGGCACATGCCTGTAGTTCCACAAGGAAGGCTGAGGCAGTAGGATTGCTGTGAGTTTGAGGCCAGCCTAAGCTACAAAGTGAAGTCAAGGCCACCTTTGAACCTGTCTCAAAAAAAATATGTTGAAAAGCACTTGAAGTAAGACATACCAATCTGCCGAACAGGTGACAAGTTGACAGCATATTTCACTTCGATTCTCAAAGACAAAGCCGAATCTGTTAATCTAGTTTTTAAAATGCAAGAACAGTAAATTCTGTTTACCTAGAAAAGTTTTTCCTCATGTAACTATTTACATTTTCAATTATCTTTTAAAAACCTTTTAATAAAAGCATAATTCTGTCACAGACATTTGGAAAATAAGTTTTATAATCAAACACAATTCTGTCATATGGTCTTACTTAAGTTTTTTGTCACAGAAACATTTTTACATTGTTTTAATTAGAATGCATATAAATTTCTATCCTGAGCTTTTTTCACTTCACATAGTTTGAATATTTACTTGTATACTCATAAATTATTTTATTGTGTTATAATACATAGAGGATGTGCCATAATTTCATTATTCGTTATTATTAGAAATGTAAGCTCTTTCAGTTTTTTCACTGTTAATGGTTGAACCACACGTAGGAGCTTTTGTAAGGGTGTTAAGCAAGCGAGAGAAATAGAAAAGGGCTAAGTGTTAAAAAAGGTACCCATGGGGTTCATGGGGAACCTCATACAGGAGGTTCCTCCTACAGGATCCTCCTACAGGATCTGCAGGAGGGTTCATAAATTCTCATGGTATCTCATGGGCAGTCACTGCGACTCTTCATCGCACTAGTTTTTACCCAACAGTTTCTTGGCACATTCAGTGCAAAACTACCTGGGCAGAACTACACATTATAGCGTGTCACAGATCTTCAAGGTTGCCTCCTCTAAATAACTGAGATCATAAATTTCAAATCCACACGTGCTAAAGGAGTAAAATATTTATACTTTATTTTTATATCTCAAACTCTTATTTTCTCCTATCAATATTGACACCACCTACGGCATTTAATGTTTGTGTAATCTTCTAGTTGAAAATTGGCCTTATTCTCATTCCCACGTCTGGTATGAATCTTCCCAGTTAAGTGTTACAAACTTCATAATTGTGAGATAAAATTGAATTTGTAAATAAGATATCATGCAAATTTAAAAATATGGAAATTTAATTAATAGCGACATGGACTATTTCACAATTCAGAATTGACTGAATTATTGACTTGAAACACCTTCATTGGGTAAAATCTGAAAACTTACAGTCCAGCAGGAAAAAAAGCATAAGGCTGCCAAGACTCACCTCAAATGTGTCAGCCAGCCAGTGTATATCTGTAATTATATTCTTATGACCGCTTTCTATTGAAGAGACAGCGCAGTGTCTGATATACATTGCTTCTTTGTTACTGTCTGGTTCAAGGAGAAACATAGGCTGAAGAAACGTTAAAAGAAAGTTCCACTTCAGAGAGCTGATGAGTGAATGCATACTTTCCTGACTGTTCCAGTTAAAATTAAAAACTTAGAAATATAACTGTTCATGAAAACATAAATTAATGTTTTTATATACTATACATATATTTAGGTAATAGGATTATTGACTTTCACCTTCAGTTTAGCCCAAGAGTTTATTTCTAAATTTCACATGTATTGTTGGCGTATTGGCTAAATAATCAATGGAACATTCCATCCTTTTTTTGTTTGGTTGCAGTGCCAGGGATCAAATCCAGGCCCTTAGGGCAAGCACTGCACTCCTGAGCCACATCCCAAGCCCAAGATATCCATTTCTTCAAGGACTATTTTTATGCATGTACAGAAGCCTACCTCTTGATGTTATAGGCAGCTGAGTTAGATAGAAATATTATAGGCAGTCACATAGGGCCAGGCCCTCAAAGGAGCCAGTATGGAAGACAAGATACCTTACAAATGGAGAGGTGGTGCTTGCTGTGGGCCAGATCTCAAGACAAAAGATCAAACATACTCACAGGCATGTGCCACCCTAGGGATAGACATCAGGGATTGATATTCTAAACAGGTAGCAATCACCTTGAAGAGTCACTGATCCAACCCCTTACAGGAAAAGCCCCTGTTCTGTGTTCATGCCCACTTGTTACATGACTTGCATCCCCATTTGATACCAATTCAATCAATTTTACCTGAACAATTCTTACTGGCTGACCATAGTTTTGTCTCACCTCATATCCACCTTGTGATTTCCCATTTTTCCCATACCTTGGACCCGCCTCACCTCGTGGTTTTGCTCTATAAAATCCCTAGAAAAGGCAGAGTCTGGGGCAAGCCACTCGGGCCTCCCTTCTATCCTTCTCTTGGACAGAAGCTTTCTTTCCCTCAATAAGCATATTTTGCCCTTAACCTCCGTTGTTCCTAAAATTCATTCTTCTATTTTAGAGAACATTAACTCGTCCCAGATATTGTTCAGGTTGGGAGTTTCTATTTTCCTATATCACTACCATTAGTTGCTAAGAGACCTGTCAGTATTCAGGCTGAAGAACTGGGACCGGAGGGATGGGCAATGTAGCAGGTACTTGAGTTTGGAGTGAAGGAATCTTATTCAAACACTCTTAAAACAGAATTTACAGCATCAAAAAATCAAGGCATATATATATTTTTTTTGATCAGAAGGGATTGTAATCCCTTCATTTTATACAGGCTAGATACCTGGCCCTTCACTCCAGAACTCTTTCAATGGCATCACCTTAGTCATTGACATGGTTTCTTCATTTTATGGAACAATAGCCCAGGCCCTAACATGTGAGATGGATGATGCAACTTGTTTTGTTGCCTTTTTAATGAAAGGCCCGTATGACAGTGATTTAGAGCATGTCCAGGAGCAGATGTGAAGGCTTGGGAAATAATATTTTTTTTTTCTTTCTTCTATTGAATGTTTGTTAAGTTTGGCAACTCTGTTACGTACTTTTGAATAAATTCTTGAATGGAAAAAACAAACTTGCAAGAGACAAATTATAGATGCCAACCTTGAGTGTAGCTTTTTTACTTCCACCACCGCCTGCTTTGGTACTTTCTATGCGGTCTGCATGTGCGGTGATATCCCACAGGACAACCTAAAATGGAAATAAATGTTATTATAACATTTTCAGGAAATAGCTGATTGGATCTTAAATGATTTTTTTTTTAAACTACTGTTGGTATCCAGCTTGTTAAATCAGTCACCTTAGAGGAAAATGAAATCTAGCCTGTATCATAAGTAAAGTAGCAACTTTTAAAGCAAATATAAAAAAGAATGTTTCCTTCTCTCCAAAAGCTCCTCAGCACTTTTATTTTTGGGTTTGTAGTAATATGGGTAATTTTTAAAAGCCAAAAAAAATATCATGTGCTGCCCTTTGCTTTAGAAAGTTTGTTTCTCTGTCCTTGGGAGTGTTCAACTCTAGGGACAGCTGATTTAGACCCATAGAAAAAAAAGGTTTTCCAAAACTCTTCAGAATTAGGGCCTGGGATATAGCTCAGCAGCACAAGTGCCTTGTCCTGAGTTTGATTCCCAGTACCAAAAAAAAAAAAAAAGAGAACCACATTCTTCAGAATTAAATTCTTCAAGATTAATTACAAATAACCAATTGCTTAGCAACAACAACAACAGCAACAACAATAATAATAATAATAACAAAGGAGGCTGGTAAGTGATACATTCTATTTGATTGAAGGTTATAGCCCACTCTGAATTTACATATACCCGAATGGTCATTTTCTTGAAAAATTAGAATAAAGTAAAACACTAACGTAGATGAGTTTTCAATAACTGAGTAGATAAAACACATAAACATTAAAATGTCATGGTTACAGAATTATGCATGGTTTTATTTTTATTGTGTATTTAAAAAATATTCTACAGGAGTTGTGATGTTTTTGTCATGAACAAAAAAAGCATCTCAGGATTTGCAGGGCTTAGAGAATGATCTCTGGGTTGTCCTCAGTTACCATTGAATGAAATTGGGGAAAAAAATTTGTTTCTCTGAAAAATTTTTTTCTGGATAAATGGGCATGAAAGCTGCAGATATTTAAATTTTCACCAGAAGGACGTTTTCCTAACCACACAAAAATGATCATCTACCCTTTTAATCCTCAAACCTGCTGGATCAAAATGAATTTCAACTTAAATCACAAAGCACCTTTCACATTTTTGTTTTACTTGTGAAAGGAGGATGATATCTAAATTTTATAAAATTTATACAATTTAAAGAGGAAAGGAGAAAAAAGCAAATATACATATTGATAGGTTTTTATAATTCTTTTAGAGCCCCTGTGGCACCACCTACTGGAGACTATATGCCATGGCCAATATGGCACTAGCCCTTAGAGGCCATGAGCTAAACCCCACCCTTCTTCCCAGAGTCAAATTAGGACTTCTTACTCCCCTTTATGTAATATCCTATTTCATCTTCCCATGCTCCCACCAAATGCTAGCCTGCAACGTCAGCTAGCCCACCCCCTAATCCCCGCCTCCAGCCTGACCATATATTATCATTGTTCTCTGCCTCTGCCCCTCAGAAGACTCGCTGCCTTTCAACCCCTCCCCTGTGTAGTCTTCTCCATGCCCACAATAAAGGCATTTTATTGTTTTATTACTTTCTGTGCTACCGGCCAAAATCTATCACATATATAGCATGCTGAACTGATGAACTGAGCACTTGAGTTCAAAGAATGACCAAATAAAACCTTACTGCAGAGTGTTTTCTGTGTGAAGAAGCAGCTAAGGTACCTGTCCATTTATACAGCCTCCAGCAATGATGTTAGGGTCACTCGGACAGAACTTGAAGCAGAAGATATCGTCTGGGCTCTCCAGCATTAACTAAGATAAACACCACAAATTCAAGAAAAGAGGGAGAAAACCTGTTAAGATCAAGGCCAGCAAATGTAAAGACAGTGAAAAGTGTAATTTTATAGCACAGGCATTCATAGTGCATAAGCAATGTGCACTAGAGTCTGTTCTTGGAACTCTACCTCTGGAAGGTACTTTCATTAAGTTTTATCATGGACATGGACGTACCTGTGGGAGTGGGTACACTGTCATGGGGATTCAGGTCTCTTTCCTCACCCACCCAAAGGGTCGTAATTAACGAGGCCTGTTATAATTTGTCCAAACAAAAAGACTGTGAAATCAGCGCTTCTAAAATGTGTGGCAGATAAGCTGTGTGAGGGCAACAGGATCCTTGTCTTTATTCCCTCCTGTGTACCAGCCTGGCACATAGTGTGCACTCAAAAACCAAAATTGACTGGATGAGAGAATGTGGAGTTATTGCTGCTGAGAATAATCCACTTTCAGAATAACATAAAGCCCAGCAGGAGAAGAATAAGCATGAAGGAATACTTATATTAACAACATTTAGCACCTATGCTGCTATGTTCCTACCAAGCAGAATTCTGGCATTATTACTGTTCTTCAGCTGTAGCAGCCAGAAGAAAAACAGGTCTTAGTAGGCTATTCATTTGCCACCACTGAGCTACAGCTATCCAGCTAGAACGGGGTGAGTTGTCTTGGTTTATTTGGTATTTTGTGAATTCTAGAAAAATCTATACTTTTGAAAATAAAATCATTTTATTATCTTTTTTTTAAAAGAAAAAAGATAATGAAACAAAGTTTCAAAACAGGTGAGTAGGACAGTTACAATAGTTGATGCATTGTGTATTTTATCTTCCTAGTAGTTAATCAGAGTACAAGATACAGGCGTGATATCTTGTCTAAACATATTAGAACAAAGCTATCTTTTCAAGGAACTAAGAGAAGCTAGCTGTATAACTGTCTTAACTATCTTGTGTGTATGCTTTTGAATAGAACAAAGACAAATAAACCATTTGCTCTCTTCCTTAAAAATATTATTTGCTTGTCTATTAAGAGTTATTTTTTAAAACAGAGAAAAAGAGGGTCTTGCTTTCCTCTTCCTAACTGGCCGGAAGGGCAGCCAAGCTTTGTGGCGAGGAGTGGAGTGTGGGTCCATGGAGCAGACGTGGCTGGGCTCCCGCGGGAGAATGGGTCTGCTCTGTGCTAAGCAGGCTGACAGTGAGGAGCCAGAGATCTGTCATTTGACCTCTGGGTCTGTAATAAAATGTCTAGAATTTAATGCAGCTAGACTGCTTTAATTCAGATGAACTAAAGAAGAGCGAAGAAGAGGAAGCTCAGGCTTATTAGGGAAAGCCTTAATTATGCGATGTCTAATAGAAACAAATCGATTATCAGGAGATTTAAGGCACTGAAAAGCCATAACCTAACACTAACAAGCACTTACCAGTAAGCGGAAACTGGAATTCTGTGGAACAAGTCCAGCCGTCAGTCTTATTTTATGTGGGTTGTTACATGTTTTGACTTGGTTTGAGTGGGTTTTTTTATGTGTGTGTGTTTGGTTTTCATTAAGGTATTTAAAATTGGAAAATTTCATACAAAATTCAAAGTTTCTGATTTTCTTGGCAACAAGAGAGCTGAAAAGCAGCTGCCACCACCCCCCACCCCCGCCCCGCTTGGTATTCACAGGCATCTCTACTCATTACCATCACCTAGTGGTGATCCCTGGAATTGAGGAAATTCATGAGAAATTCTGCTTGCATCTGAGCAACCAGTATTTAAATAAAGCCCATAAAAGTTTGTTTTAAAAAAATATTTTGAGCTACATGTGCATGCCCATAACTCCATCACTTTGGGAGGCTGAGGCAGGAGAATCCCAAGTTTGGGCCCAGCCTGAGCAACTTAGTGACTTACAGAGATCCAAATCCTCTAAAAACAAAAACAAAAACAAATCTAAAAAGGGTTGGAGATGTATTCCCTGGTTTCAATCCTCACTACCAGGGAAAAACGGTTAAATATTGCTTTTATGATCTTTTTTTCAGTAATATATTGAACTGATTTGTTCAATATATCACTTCAAGAAACAAAGTATAAATTTTAGTTTTGTTCAAACGACAAGTTCTGCACTGAAGACATGCCAACTTTACAAGGGTTTACAATATTAATTGATTATAAAGTGCTTTAAAATAAAACACAGCTAAAGATACATGAGAAAGTAGTACTTGAAGGTTTTAGGCTATGTGGGCAGTTCATTAATTACCTGAGGATGTATGGGGTCAGAGAAACTCCAGAAAAGAATCAGTGATGGTTGCAACAACAATTTCCCAGAAAAGTGGACTCTGTCTTCAAAGGCAAGTCGCACAGCCACCGACACTGCTATTAGCCCTGATTAAAACACAAGTAGAAATTAAAGTCAGCAGCAGCTGTCCATGGTGGAGGGCCTGCAGCGGGTGCTCTTCTAAACAGTCACGGTTCATTTCCATTTTGCTGAGATTTGAGTGTACATATTCCAAAGGGGAGCAAGAGCTTTCTTAGAGCTCTGCTGTGTAACGGTATCCCTGGGCCGCATGTCATTCATCCAGCTCTTGCGTGTGGGTGGTCCACAGTGAGATGTGCTGTTAGTGTAAAATGAATAGTGCACTTTGAAGATCAAGTGAGGAAAACAATGTTTTGTTTCTTTTTTATGAGAAAAGAGCCAGTGGGGAACGTGAGGGAGACAACCCTTTTCTTGGATTTACATTCACACATTTCTGTTCCCCTTAATTGCGGAATACTCTCCGAGGGTTATGTTTCCTGTTTTTGCCAATAATTAGAGAAGGGGAATTAGGAAGGGGGAATTCAGCCCGGGAGCCCAACAGGCCCGTGTCAAATCCAGGCTCTGCACTGCCCCAGCACAGAGAGCTGAGCAAGACAGTTTCCGGAGCTGAGCTTTGATCCTCTCAGTGTAAACAGTTGATAAACGAGTGCATTCCACGGGGTGGTTGGGTGGGGGAGGGACACAAGGCAGCCACGGTGTGGAAGCACTTGGCAGGTGCCTGGAACTCAGCAAACAGAAGTTGCTTCATTGAAATCGATCTAGTTTATAATTTTATACAGAAAAGCAGCACTATTTCAGTGTCAGCACAAAAGGGAATCCCTGTCGTGTCCATCTCACCGTAGATAGTTGGATGCCATGAGACGCAGGTAATCATTTTCTCTGTTTGGCTGTGCAGGTCAGTGAAGGACTGGTACTCTTTCAGGTGGGTATCAGTTTTGTCCCCAAAGGTGCCTTCTTCTTCGGCCAAGGACTTCCAGTCATCAATAAATAGGTTCATAATTTCATTTTGTTGCAGGGCTATTTCAACACTATTTTATTTTTAAGAAAAAGCAATTAAAATGTTGGATGTTAGTATTTAATGATGCATTTTCGCAGCGCTTCATGTATGTTGAACAAAAATAATACTTCTTGGTTATATTTGGTAATAATGACTGACCCCAGGTGAATCAATGACTGAGGAGGAAAAATCTCATGGCAGGATGCTACTCAGAATTTCTTTCAAGAACTGGCTGTTCAGTTGCCAGGAGTGTGCTAGCTGCCAGCCTCTGGCAACCTCCTGGTCTCCCTCAGGTTCCGAGGGCAGGCTGCACTGTCTCCAGCCGGCAACTGAGCAGGCCAGTGTCCCACAGGCCGCCTTCTGGAGGTCCTGCTTGTTGGTTAACAATTCCTCAGAACCTCTCCTTGCCCCATTTTGCTTCCTCTCCTCCAGTTTTCACTGTGTGACCCTTACAAAATCTCTACTGCTAAGCTGCTCTCGGGTGCTCCCTGGGAAGCCCAAGCAGACACAAAAGGCAATTTTCTAAGGCATTTTCAGTGCTAAGTGATCACTTATGTGAAATGAGGAGAGCTCAAATATATACAGTGAGTATAAATATGTGTGTATGTGTGTGTGTGTATATACATATACACAAGCATGCATACACATACACATGCAAGTGCACTCCAAAAAACAAATAAGAAATTCTCACCAAGGGGAAAGGGAGATCTGGAGTTGAGAAGTGTGCATGATTGTGTGCGTAATGGCACCGGGCGGTTTTAGTTATCACAACGCCACAATGCGTGGGAACACTGTACTTAATTCCATCCACTTACCGCAGTATATGAGGCAGTCCCTAAAACGCAGAATTATAACTCAAAAAACGCTAATGTTAAGGAACGATAGGAATGCTCGGATCATCTCTTAGTAGTCCAGGGACCCTGGTTTGACAGGCTCTTGCTTTTAAATAATTACTATAATGTCTATTTGATAGGTGTAGTAAACCGTAAGAGTAGTTTTCAATTATGAATTTGTTAAAACAAGAAAAAGCTCTTTATCTAGACAAGTACATGTGGACACGAAATATCCTAACAGATTATCCGTAAATATAAAAGGGGTCCCATCTGATGCCTCTGTCACTAATCTGTACATCCCGCCACAGCTTAATTGGTTAAATTCTTCTACTTTATCATTCCAAATAGAATGGCAGAAGCAGGTCCTAGGCCCTTGTGCTTAAAGTGTGGCTCACGGGTCGGCGGTGCCAGCTTGGCCGGAGCTTGTGAGAAAGGCTTCACTCCTGACCTGGGTGTCGCAGTCTGAAGTTTCACAGGACACCTGGAGGTATGGCACCGTATCTTTGACTAACTCTGCATACATTCAGTTTCAAGGAAAATCCTTAGCATCTGCAGAGCTGTATTCCTTTCTGCTTCAGCTGGAAAGCAGAGGCATTTTATTCACAAGGGACAAGTGGGAGGCAGAGCTTTAACTCTGGTTTCGGTGCCTTCCTCCCAACCAGAACACGGCAGTGATTCTCAGCGGGAAGTGAAGCCGGCGCTTCCCTCTGGTTTCCAGTTTCTCCATTCCCAGGAAGAACCTTGTGGTTCCTGAGAGTGAGAAACCCGGGTCTGGCAAAACTTGTCCGGGAATAGCACTTTTTTTTTTTTTAAACCCCAAATGGTTGCTTTGTGAATCCCTTGAAAGTTTTTCTTACCGTTTTTTCTTTTGCAAATAATGATTCTTTTAGGTATGGTTTGAATAAAATTTAAGTGAAAGAAAGAAATTCTGAAAGGGCTTTATTTCAGAACAAAATCAGGCTTCTATTAATTTAAAAATATTAAATAAACCTTAGACAATTTTAAAGCTGGACGTATAGCAGTGATATAAACGTGGGTTTCTTATTTACTCTTTGGGCCAGTGTTATTATAATTCCTGTGTTAATTTTCCCTTTTTCTTTCTATAGTGCTTACTTTGCCTTCCTATATCTCAGGAAGGAAATAAAAAACCAGTCACTATTGGCTTTTTTTTTTTGTAAATAAACATGACACTTGAAAGGGGAGAACAAAAGCCCAAGCCTAATGATAACATACCATGTAGATAATTGAAAACTGGCCATTGATTTGACCATTTATTTCATACCTTTCCTTTTTAACTTCAAGGCTAGTCTTTCCTAGAAATTGATCAGATGCAAATGGACCTCTCATTTTTAAGTTCTTACTAGGGAAACTTTAAATGATTACTTAGCTTTGATATGGATGTTGTGGTTTTGTCATGTGATTCTTGTGAACCTAGGTAAGGTGGTATTTTAATTATAATCAATGTAACTGTGCTTTGACAGGACTAAATCCATTCCGAGGTCTTGTCTGGTAACACAAGCTATAACTGAGCTCAGTGGTTGATCTGTGGTCACACGGACACATAGATGAGCACTGATACGTGAATATGATGGTTAGCATTCGGGGCTTTTCCTTTGATGGCTGAAATCTGGAAACGGACTAATCCACCTTCTGAACCCACAAATACCACTGCCTGCGACTGCCATTGGAGACACAGCCTGCTGGACTCCACTCTGAACATTCATTCACCCACTCTCGTGTGGCATGAGTTACTGAAATCTCTTCCCGAGTCCCTTGTTTTATTGCTGACAACGTGATAGCACCCACACCCCACTGAAGTGCCATCATGAAGGGAGTGAAGGACTACTGGTCTCCAGGACAACTTGGACAATTTCTTCTCTGGATTCATGGTGTTTGGTTTGTTATTAGCGCTCTGCCCAGGTATTTTTTTTTTGAGACAGGGTCTCGCTATGCAGTTCAGGCTAGCCTTGAGCTCACTTTGTAACCCAAGCTAACCTTGAACTCGCAACCATCCTCCTGCCTCAGCCTCCTGAGGGCTGGGATTACAGGCGTGCACCACCATGCCCGACTGCCCAAGTAATTTTTTTAAACCTATTTTTGCCTATATTTCTTTAACTTATTTTTGCTTACTCTGCTTTTTTGTGCATTGCAATAAACTGTTTAATTTGAGAACTATTTTTGTTTAACTTGACTTGTCATTTGATTAGAGGAGAAAAAGTCTGTTCTGAGAAGAATTATAATACTTGAGTTTAAAGTGGTTGCCAGGTATCCGGGAACCTGACCACTCTTCTGGGACCATTGTGACACAGGAAAAGAAATTTAAAGTTTTCTTATTCCTGTCTCAATGCAGCATGCTCCCTGTGCATGAGTGGCCAATAGTTTATGCACTCTGGGTGATTCAGTGAGTTTTTGAAACAGATCCTCTCTAGGAATAAGTGTCGACTTTTTAGAATTGTTATAAAAAATTTTCAGTACATTTAATTCAGCCTAAAAGACTTAGTGTCTTCTTAAAAGAAAAAAGCTTATTTTAAGCAATTTATGAATGTGACCACTGCATTTTTAATTTTAAAAAGAAATGGAAACCAACCTCTTCAGTACAGCTGGCGGAATATTTCACTATTATTCCCACTGCTCTGAATTTTGTATCAGCTTGATAAGACCCCGTCAAGCCCTTTCTCTTGCTTGGAAGACCCAGGACTCTGACCAGGGTTCTAGGCAGAATAGGGGTTGTTTTGAAGACTTTTCTCCTTCTGACCCAGTAAGAATTGCAGTCAACCCCAAAATAAGCGATAACAGTGACATGTTCAGAAAGGACGTCTGAATTGAATTCAGGTTCTCATTTACAAAGATATTTTTGCAAATAGTTTCATCATCATAATAATTATCCTTATCATCCTTAGCTTGCTCATTCTCATCATCCTGTAAAAGTCAGTGAAGCTTAGAAGCAGAGAGGGAGAGGAGGGGAGAAAAGACCTTCTCATAATAAAATAAACCACAGTAAATACAAATATAGACTGAGCATCCTTAATCCAAAAATGTGCACCTGCTTGACATTGACACGACACTATAAGTAAAACATTCCATACCTACAATTATTTAAAATACTGTATAAAATTATCTTCAAGTTCAATGCATAACATATACATGAAATGAATGTCGTGTTTAGACTTGGGACTCATTTCAAGGTATCTCATCATGTGTATGCAAATATTCCCGCCTCTTGCACAACAAAATCTGAACTCTTTCGGTCCTAAGCAATTTGGATACGTTATGCTCAACCTGTAATTGTTGACTTGCAATTATGAAAACATCCTCACACATTCACTCAGTCACACTGTGTTTGGTGTTTGGCATGGCCCTACCATAGAAGGTCTAGGATATTTTTTAGCAATAGAAGGGTAAAATATTTCTAAACAATGTGAAGAATTTATGAATGTGTGATATGTTTATGCATAGTTGATAACTGACTTCATGGCTTCCACCTTAGAGTTTCTTATTAAGACTTAGTATTATAAGTAAATATGCATATTCTGTGTTGTATTTTTAAAATTTAATATATATATATATATTTACCTTGTGGACACATTGTTCAGAAAATCAGTCAACGATTTTGATTGTCCAACTCTTTCTTTTTCCTCTTCTGAGAATTCTCTTGCATAATATTGTGTACTAGCATTTTTGGGATATGTCCTAAAATATTAAAAATAGATAAAAGAAAAGCAAATATAGGTCATTATAGGTCAAAAGTTCATCTTAGGATATTACTTTATTTAAATTCTATACTTGAATTTTTTCCTTTATCCTAGGTAACAGATAGTGACCATCATTCAAAGTCTACCTGTATTTCTCCCTGACATAATTTCAAAGGTCTTCTTTTGTAAAATTTTTGCTATTTAGAAATCCTTGTAAACTTATAGAAAAGTTATGAGAGGGTATAAGGAACTCCTGCACACCCTTCACCCAGATTCATCAATTAGTAACATTTGCCATACTCACTTTATTGTCTCTTCTCTCTATTTCATTCTTTCAGTATTTCTTTTTTTTCTGTCTTTTTGAGACAGGGTCTCATTATGCAGTTCAGGCTGGCCTTGAGCTCACTTTGCAGCCCAGGCTGGTCTCAAACTCACAATGATCCTCCTGCCTCAGCCTCCCGAGTGCTGGGATTATAGGCATGTGCCACCATGCCCTGGCAGCTCTTATTTATTTTTAAAATGTGATTGTTGTTTTTTTAGCAAAACTGTTATTGTTTCAACTTAAATCACATTCTAAACATTGAGCTTGTACTTTCAACTTCTGCCTCAGTTTCTTTATTTATAAAGTAGGGATAATGGCCCCTGCAAAGGGTATTTGTGAGGCCTGAGTGGATGTGTAAAGCGCTTAGAACGCCTGGTGTGCGGCCGGAGCATGAAGCATTTGCTCTCACTGCCGTTGCTCTTTGAAGCTGTCACGAGTTGTCACGCTTTCTTCCATTACAATCACACTCCAATCTTCTCCACCTCCCACCAGCTACTGATGGTCTGAGCTTAGGAAGAGGAACCAGGATTTTCCCAGTCTTCTAAGTTTGACTCATTTGAATTCCTTTTGCTTTACTTTCGGTTTTGTGAGTCAGGGTCTGTCCCTTCTTATCACGTGCTTATTCCTTCTACAGCCGTCACTATTATACTCAACCCACATTCACTGAGAGCCTAGTTGAATGTGTCCAAAGTCTTGTGATTGGGCTCGCTGTCGTTGAAGGCTTACTGTCCCTTCTAAGTCTATCTGACACCTTCTTGGGACTTGTTTGTACCCTTGTAGAAACACAGCAGAAGTCTTGGGCTGGCTTGGCTTAGAAATTGTCTCAAACTCTAAAGTTCTTTGGAACATATAGATTACCTCTCTCCTTTCTGTCTCTCTCTTACTTCTTGGTGTTTATGGATATCTGATGCCCCCTTTCCCCATTAGGACTTGATTACCAAGCCTCTGCACTTCCTCTGGTTCTATCCTCTCAGTTCATGTATTTTCCTTGTTTCTGATCCAGTTTTGGCCCAATCTTTGCTGTCCGTGTATATGTGCCCTGACTTTAACATTGCACTTCCATGGTCTCTGAACTGGTTTACATAGGTTTGAAAGGCCTGCCTCTCCCATAATGCAGTCTATGCTTCTGTCTCTTGATTCTTTTCCACTCTCTCCCTGTGTATTTCACGACTCTGAAATTAAATACACCATTATACCATGCATGTTCCCTTAACTTTGTCCTTTTCCTTGCTCCATTCCTCCCCGCCCCCCATCTATTTATTAAGTACCTGCCAGGAACCATGCTAGGAGTTAGAGATCTAGCAATTACAAAAAGACAAAGTTCTTCTTCCATAGAGCGTAAGTTGTAAGGATTGTGGGGAGAAGAGAGACAGTGAAAAATACAGCATTAAGCGGTGATACAACCATGATAAAAAATAGACTAAGGGGACAGCCAGTAATAGGAGTTGTTGCCTTTATCTGGGCGTGTCAGGGGACGCCTCATTTGAGCAGAGGCCTGAGTGAAGGAGGGAAAGAGTATGCTGTATAAAGGAACTGTAAGTAAAAACATACTAGGCATGAACATGTTTGGAGAATTCAAGGAGGATTGGATGAGTTAGAGGAGATGTGAAAAATGAGGGGAGAAGGAAAAAGAGGATCTAGATCATATGAAGCTCTGTAGGTCCCTTCAGGATGGAAAACCACTGGGAGACTTTCATAGGTGACATGATGTGACTTATATTTTAACAGGATTACTTAGCTCTCTTACAGAGAATACAATGTAGGAGGGGAAGGATGGGTAGCAGAATACAGTGAACAAGAAATATAATAATTCAAACAAGAGATAATGCCTTGGTCCAGGCTGAGAGCAGTGGAAGTATTTGGAGATATACCCAGCAAAGGCCAAGGTCTTTGTTCTCAGTAATTAGGAAAATATCCCTACTATTTCTTGAGATGAAGAAGATTCAAGACATTTCAGATTTGCAGGCAGAAAATCAAGTTTGTGGCTGGGCAATGAACTTTGAGATACTTGTCAATGTTCAAGTAGATGGATAAACAAATATAGCGTCTAGGGGAGAGATGGAGGTTAAAACTTGGGAGTCATCAGCCAACAAATGATAGGAAACACCCCAGGACTTGAGAAAGTCACCCCAGAATTAAGTCTGGTTGGAGAAAGTATCAGAAGGAGATACCCGTGGGAATCCTTCAACTTGAAAAGAAGGAAGAAGAAACTTGGAAGAAGAGATTGTAAAGGAGATCGAGAAAGAGCTGCCTTGAGTTAGGAGTGGAATAATCAGAGTTGCCTCCAAGTGAAATGGAAGAAAAGTGTTTCAAGAAAGGAAAATAGTCAATCCTGTTAGACACTGCTGAGGAGTGAAGTAAAGAAGGTCTGAACACAGGTCACTGCACTGGGCAACCAGAGGCCCTGCTAAGACTGCTTGGATTGGGCTCAAGACGGAATGGTGGAAGAGTTAATGGAACCAGAGAGTGTGGCCGCTGCTGATTTGCTGCAAAGAAAAGCAGAGATGTCGGGTAATAGATGGAGGAGCAGAGCTATTTTTTGCCTTGATGGGATGCATAGAATTTTGTAGGTACCGCCACTTGTCTGCCTCAGCATGGAGGAGAAGGGTCACCTCAGATACCACCCCAAGGGCTCTGGATGGGTGTATCTGTGTAAGCAGTGGTCGGCCAAACAAGAAATCTAGCCAGTGAAGGCTAATTTGCACTATAAAAATCATCACTTAGGTGTTAGACTACAACAGTTAGGAGGAATGGAAATATTCCAGATGACAGATGACTAGCACCATAATTATTACCTTCACTCATTTTTTTAACTTCACAGAGTCTTCATATAACTGCATTTAATTTTCTTTAGATTTTTGATGGTATTATAAATACATAAACCCATAACACACCCACCATTTTGTCTGAGTGCTCGTGTCCTTGATTTGAGGGATTGCTTGCATGGCAACATTTTTCTCCAGTTGCTTAAGGGTGAAGTTTTTATCTGGGTAGGCTGTACATTCGATGTAGGCATCTTTTACACTGGAAGCATTTTGGTCACTGAATGTAACTGGTGCACCAAAATCACTGCGTTTTCGAGAAATCATGTATGTCACCTGCAAAGGTAACACCATGTATGTAAACAGCAAAGGTAACACCATGAAGTCTCTGGAGTAAAACGGATGTGCAGGGAGCAGTATTGGAACTCTGCCCAGATGGTCTCAGAGTTCTCTATGCACGCTGTGTTCCCCTTCAGCTCCACGGCTTTGCATCCCCACGGGCTGCACCGGGTCCTCTTTGATGGGCTGCTCTAGTAAAGCCACTCCGCCTGCAAGGAGTGACTGCAGCTTACACAGCGGCAGTGGTGGACTGGGAGGAGCCATAGGGAAGCCCCTCTTCTTGGCTGCTTTTTGGGACAACTTTAAACTGTAATTTTTTTTTTTCCACTACCGGGAATCAAACGCACGACCTTGCACTTGCCAGGCAGGTGCTGTGCCACTGAGCTAAATCCCCAGCCCCTAAACTGTAATTTCTACTCCAGAGTTCCTCTAAATGTTCAGGCCACAGCCCTCTGTAGGGCTTTTGCCTGGGATTCCTTCCATGTCCCTGTCCCACTCCTCTTCATGTTATCTTACGGGACACTGTCACAGTAAGTCACTCACGCACAAATCCTCCTCTCAGGAGCTGCTCTGGGACGGACTGCCACTGAATAAACTTCTCAGTGCTGCCATCGCGAAGTATTACAACCTGCCTGGCTTAAAACACAGTGATTTACTTCTCATAGCTGTGGAGGTTGGTGACTGGTTTCTTTGGAAGGCTCAGGGGAGAAAAGCCTGTCCTCACTTTGCTTCCAACTTCTGGTGCTGGGCAACAACCCTCAGTGTTCCTAGAGTTGTAGATACATCCCTCCCATCTCTGCTTCTTCCTCACATGGCGTTCCTCTTATCACTCTGTCCCCCACGGCCTTCCTCTTATGAGGATATTGATCAGTTTGGGTTAGGAGCCGACCCTCCTCAAATGCAACTTCATCGTAATTAATTACATCTGCAAAGACTATTTCCAAAGAGGGTCACATTCTGAGGTACTGGGATTAGGGCTTTGATGTATCTTTCTGGGGGGACAGATTCAAGTCATAACTCCTGCTTAAGAAAATTATTTTACGAAAACAAAAACAAAAAAATGTATCCCCATAGCACATATAGCAAATTATATTGATCCCTTGAGAATAAATGTTGTACAGATACAACGAGGTAATGACTGGCGATCATACTTAAGCCTCTGACCTGCTTTGTAGATTTCTTCACTGATTCTTCCTCAATTTCTTTTTCACTGCCCAAGGACACCCAAGGTTTAGAGACAGGTGGTACATAAGTAAATATTTCTTCAGGAATAAGTTCTTTATATTCTTCTTGTTCTTCTGGCACTTCTGGGGCCTACAGTTAAATAAATAGCATTCTAAAATACACGACCAAATTTAGGTTTATAGGCACACGCATATATTTTGTATGTATAAACTTTACTTTTATGTAAGTTTATTTATCACTTCCTATTTGTCTGATTTATCAGTTAATGCCTTTGAATTATGAGAAGTAAACTGCAAAGCAGAAAAGTGATCAAATATATAGAAAGAAGATAGGAGAAAAAGATAGATGAGGAAATAAGGAAATGATACATCATTAGAAAAAAGCATTTACTATACAAAGACAAAACCTTAATTTGATGAAAAAATAGAAAACTAATTTTCTCTGATTCAATGAAAGGTACTGTGACAAGAGAAATATAAACATGAGAAAGGTGCTATCCCTTAAATACTAGGAGTAAATCTTAAAACTAAGATAGTCACTTTTGCTTTATTTATTACAGTGAAAGCATGACCACCAAATAAATAACTCTAGGGAAATGAATGGGACACACCATGCTATAGTCATAAAACAAAACCTCACAAAGCAAGTATAATGAACAAAGTCAATCTACATATATAATACCTACATGTATTAATATTTATAGATCCGAGAATTTTAAAATTCAGCAAAAACCAAAAATTGTTGAATAAAAGAGACCAAGATGTGATATGTATATTTATCACAAGATGAATGTATTCATTATGTATTACTAACATACAATAATAAAAATTTTTAAAGTTGAGTAATTTATATAACATGATATAGTTTGTATGTAAATTTTCAATTAATAAAAGCAAAGCACATTATTTGTGGAGTATACATATATGGTAAATCATAAAATCATAGACAAGAAGATAATATAACAACTTTAGAATAAGTTAAAAGTTTTCCTTTTTAAAATAAGTTTTGGGCCTGGGGATTTAGCTCAGTGGCACAGCGCCTGCCTGGCAAGCGCGTGGTCGTGAGTTTGATTCCTGGTACCAGAAGAAAAACAACAACAACAACAAAAATAAATAAAATAAAATAAAGTAAGTTTTGAGGTAAAAACTCATTTTGAGTGACGACAGTATAGATACTGGTTATACTACTCCCTGTACTTTTCTGCACCTTTAAAATATTTCACAATAATAAAACACTAAAAACAGAGAAAAGCAATGACAAAAATGAAAATAAATGAAAGATTGTTTTTAACTAGAAATTATTCATTATTTTAAAATTCAGTGGCTTTCCTTTACTTTTTCTTGCTTATGGAACAACCATACAAACTCTTCTGATTCCCTTGAACAATATGACCAAACCTTCCAAATCACTGCCCTCATTTTGACCACATGACACTGAAGGACAGTCACATGAATTTCATAAATTTGTTATCTTTCTTGCCCACCTTGAATGAAGGACTTTGTCTTAACCCAATTTAATCCTCACAGTCATCCTGGAAATGAGTGCTATTGGTGCTACCATTTTTTTTTTTTTACCTTTTGAAGTGTAATCCTTTTATTTTTTTTATTTTAAAAATAAAACAAAGAAAACATATTAACAAACAGACATCCATTTGCAAAATAGCACAAGAACAACACAAGCAATACTGAATTACAGACAAGGTGACAGGAAATTAACAATGGTTGCTGTATTACATATTGATAACTTCAAAGTGGTTACTCAGGAAAACAAATATAGACATACAAGATTGATCAAATCATTAATCATGAACTGTTCCTTTCAATGAAGTGATATAAGTCAGTAATACAGCTATGTTAGCTATCCTGTATATACATACATAATTTCCCCTTCTTTCTTTCTCTTTTCCCTCTTCCCAGATGCTCTTTACTTTTGAGCAGTTTCCTTTCATTTCCCAATGTCTATCATACCTCCTAATTTTTATTCACTCTTTCAGGTTCTTACACCAGTGAGGCAATATGTTGCTTACACATGCAGGTCTGATTTATTTCACCTATGAGTATGGTCTCTAGTTGTGACCATTTACCTATAAAAGCCTCAGGTTTACCTTTCTTTATAGCTAATATTCCATTATATAAAAACGTCCATCCACTGAGGATTGGATAAAAAAATTGTGGCATTTTTACACAATGGTGCTACCATTTTAAAGAGAAGAGCCTCAGTAACTTACCCACAGATGTAGAAATCAGAGTGACTTGAAAAAGGAATGTGCGCTGGGGTGCTCTTAGGAGAGTAGGGTGCTCTGGACTCACTGTCTCCTCTCTCACTGGGACAATGAAGGGCAAACAAGCGGAGTATCTGTACCTTGAGAGGGTTGATTCCTTTCACCTCTCATTTATAGTCACCTATTCTAGGTCGCCGAGTCTGACCTACTCCCTGGGAAGCAGCTGAACAGGAATAACGACACCATATACAGATTCCTCAGAGCTGACTGCCTCCTTCCAACAATCAACAAATCTCAGGCTTGGCATGTGCTTACATTTAAATAATTTTCCTTGCCCTCTTCTGTTCCTATAATATAAAAGTTCAGCCCATACTTGAAGTCTTTGTCATAAACAAGTAGAATCTCATTTCCAGGATATTCCTGTCAGGATAAAATCAAAAGAGAAAGTTAACTTTCCACAGCCATTGCATTCACTTAGATGCTGACATAAAATTGATATTTCTTTATCAACTAATCATAAAAGATAACCGTAGTGCTAAACTGTAGCTGGTAGCCTCAAATTACAAAATTATCAGGTGAAAAAGCTCTTAAAAATACAATAGAGCCAAGGAAATTTACCGTGAAGTTTTATTTCTAGCAGGAAGAGAAAAGCATTGGTGGTATGTTCTGTAGTGTGTTTGGAGACATATGCGGCCAAAATTCTGAACAAAACAATGAAAGCGGTGGAAGAAAATAAAGGTGTATTTCTGTGATAGTTAAAACTGGACAATGACGTGCTCTTCTGTGTGCGGAAGATAACTAGTTGCTGCTGGGTCTTTGCTTTTTCACAGAGGATTGTCCAAAGGGGAGGTGTGGACAGACTCGGGTGGGCTCCAGGTAAGTGGGATGCCAAATGTGAAAGCCTCCAGTCTGTGTTATTACATACTAGGGGCTTCTTGAGGTACGACTGGAAACAAAGGGGGTGCGCTGCACTTACCTGGACAATTTTTTTGACCGGGTGGAAGTCAGATACTGCAGCTCTGTTACGCAAGTCTTCAAAAATATCTTCCTTTTTGATAAGCTTATACGGTATTTCGTCGGTGACATCTTGATCTACTCGGCAGTTGAATATTTCCTGAGTCTTGGTAGTCAATACTAAAGGATAAATTTCTGGATGACCTAGGAAAGACAAAGTGAAATTTGTACATTAAAGGCAACTGATGAAAATATTAGCAACAGGAAACACACTTTTAGTAATTCTCTTGGTTAAAAAGTTGAAGACTTTACAATTACTGTTCTTATATTTAAAGTAAATAAAACCGTTATAAGAGATACTAAACAAAATTTAAAAAGAAGAAAATAACAAAGGTCCATAATACTACCCATCAAGAAAGGACTTCTATTAATATTTTGCTCTATTTTATTTCAGTTTCTTGATATGTGCTTTATACGAAATTCTAAATGCTGCTTTTAGTACTATTACCTCACAAATATTTTTGATGGCATTAAATAATCGTTTAAAAACGTTTAAATTAACTTAATTTTGTAGCATGCCTTAAAACCATTCTTATATTGGTAAGCATTCCATTTTTCTCATTTGTTTCTAATTACTGAAAATAATTATACAAATACAGTGTAGTTTAAAATTTTTATCATATTTAAAATTTTCTTAGGCTAGGATTAAACGTGAATTTCTTGTTCCAAAGCTTCTGTTGCTTTCCTAACACAGCCCAGACTCCATTCTAGCCTGCTTCTCTCTCTCTCTCTCTCTCTCTCTCTTTCTCTCTCTCTCTCTCCGTCTCTGCCTCTGTCCGTCTCCGTTTGTTTCTATATACAGTGTTTATATAGTTTTGCATGTATAAAAAAATTCTGTAGTTTTGCCTTAGAAAACCACTAGGTGGCGCTATGAGAACCCGTGCTATGCTAGGATTAAAAAGGAGGCACCACTAAACAAGCTTTGCAGGTGTTTAGCAAAACCAGAAAACTGTCTACCGTCCAAGAAACTGAGAAAACAATGATCGAAAAAGGCAAATTTTCTATGCCACCTTCCCCCTTAAACACACGCTTCAAATTCTAATAGCTTCAAATTCCACTTCTGACAAAAATGATTTTTTTGCACTAGTAGGACCAATTCAATGCTACTTTAATACAGGTTCTAACATTCGTTCATGTAGAAGTTAGTAAACCTCAAGGGTTGTCCTAGCTGGGGTCGGCAATCAGTGACACTACATGACAGGTAGCCAACAGACTTTCTCAGGCTAGCACCTCCATACCATCAATGTAACAGACAGACTAGAAAGAGGAAGGCAGAGGCTTCGGCCAACTCCAAAGCCCGGGAGAAATGAGGAAAAGAACTGCTGCGGTTTCGGCTTTGAGGCACACACCGAGGACAGCGCCGCACGCTGCGGCCATGCTGCTATGGTGTTCGAGTGTGAGAACTTCACTGAGCCTCGAGCAGAGCTGGAGGCTGGTTGCTCCAAAGAGAGGAAGAAATGTGTCGCAGCAAATGAGAAGGTCTTGGGGGCCTCTTGAAGATGACGCGGTTCAGACGTGCCCGCCATGAGGACAATATCTACTGGGAAAGGGGCCAGGCTAGCGCCAGCCTCAGACCCAACGGTGTTAACCTCCGTGTTATTGACCGTCCCTCCCGCGGAGCACCTGCGCCGTGCCGGTGCGGTCCCAAGCCCCTTATATCATTAGCTCCTTTTATCTTCCCAACAACATTCCCCCCTGGTTAGGATAACGATCTCCCCTACTTTTTAGCCGAGGAAACCCAAGCTCACAGAGGCTGAGTAACATTTCCAAGATGAGGCACTGCGAGTTGGAACGGGAGTATCTGAGATCCAAACCGGGGTCTCTGTGTGGTAGGTTGGATGCTGCCCTTTCTGTCTAGTGAGAAGGCACAGCAGAGGCAGAAGCGGGACTTGTTCCTTCTCCATACACAGCCATGAAGGGGACGGAGGCGACATTCCATAGGACACAGAGGGGGGCTGTTATTCCAGCAGCCTGCTGGAGCAGGAGCCCTAGACAGACTCCAGCACCAGACCTGCCTCTGACTCACTCCCTCCGCCCAATTCATGCCTCAGGTCCACTGTGCTCCCCAGACAGAGGGCTGTGAAATTCCAGCCATAAACTACACACATGGGTCCTGCAGACTGAAAGAGTTAACAAATAATGCCCATACACTTCACATACTTCACCTGTGCAGTTTTTGATACTTTGTTTAAAATCGGTTGACCATATATATCTGTGAGTTTTACTTTTGGAGTCTCTTTTTATTCATTGATCTACTTCTCTATTATTATAGTATTTATAATAATAAGAATGAACATGACCATATTTTGTGACAACCCCATGGGAGGAAATGTGCATGTACTACCTAATTTGTTTTCTACAAGCATCACTTTTCAGATGAGGGAGCAGAAGTTCAGTGAGGTGAAGTTGTTTGAGACTAAATAGTCGTGAAGTGGGGAGTGATGATTTGAATCAAGGTATCTATATCTAGCTATCTATTATCTATCTATCTATTATCTATCTATCTATCTATCTATCTATCTATCTATCTATGCAATTAACTACTTGCAGAAAACAGAATAATGTCCCAGAAAAGATGTCCTGTCATTTTCAGGAGCCTATGTAGTGCTTTTATTTTTTTGTGCTTTTAATTGATGAGTTTGCTGCTTAAAATGGTCCCAGGTTACAGTGCTAAAGTGCTTCCTGCTGTTCCGAAGTGCAAGGTCTGTGATGTGACTTCCGGAGAAAGCTGGAGTCCTGGATAAGCATCATTCAGTCATGAGTCATAAGCATAAGTCTAGTGTTAATGAATCCATAACATAAACTAAATACTATCAACAGAATACACGAAACATATATTAAATGAATCAATAACATACACTAAATACTTCTTTAGCGGTTATGTATTACTAGTTAGTAAATATGAGAACAAAGGCTTGAGGAAATCTGACCCCCTAATTTCCCTAAGAATTTGGTACTGCACTGAGTAATTCAGTAGTTGAAGCAACTTTATGGAACATCCATGAGGGATGAAGATCAACTCATTATATTTTGGATCTGGAGTCTCCAAGTCCTGCATGTTAAAGACTTGGTTCCCAGCTCAGCACTACTGGGAGATGGTGGCAACTTTAAGAGGCAGGGCTAGGAGGGGGGCCTCAGGCCACGGGTGCTGCATCCTTGAAAGGAATTGTGGGACCTGGGTCACTTCCTCTTTCTCTCTTTCACTTCCTGGTCAGGAGGTGAGCAATTTTGCTTTGCCACACATTCCTGCCATGACGTGCTGCCACAGCCCCCTCCAAAACATGCCCAACTAGTCATGGACCAAAACCTCCAAAATATAAGCCCAAATAAACTTTTATCTTTTTTTGAGACAGGGTCTCACCATGCAGTTCAGGTTGGCCTTGAGATCACTTTGTAGCACAGGCTGGCCTTGAACTCACAACGATCCACCTGCCTCAGCCCCCGAGTGCTGGGTTATAGGAGTGCAACACCAAAACCTTTATCTTTGTAAGTTAATTACCTCAGGTATTTGTTACAGTGGCAGGAAGCTGACTAACATACATCTTCAACTTCACAATTACAAGTGCTATGAAAGAGAAAAACCTATTTAGGGGGAGATGGAGTCTAGATATCAATTACAAAGAGATACTTGCATAAAAATCTGAGAGATATTTACCCATCCTATATGATTAAAAGCCCAAATCTTCATCTAAGCCAACTCTGAGAAAAAGCCTCCCTTTCACTCCCCTATTTCTGCTGGGATAAAAATTATTTAGCCTTTAAAAGAAAGAACATTAGCTTGGTTGTTTAAACTGCAGCTTATTTGTTTGAAAACTCGGCCCATTTCTCTGAAATAGTAGAATCTGACCATGAAGTACAGATATTGCCAAAGAACCAGAGTTTGGAAAATACTATTCTTATAAAAGTAGTAATTTACAGATTTTATAACTTTACAGTTAGAAAAGATCTTGGGATAATCACATAACAGATTGTGAAGGTACTGTTTGATCTAAATTTATTACTCAGTGTGAAATTCTCTTTTTTATCCTTTATTAAAATCTTTATTTTTTTATTGTATATCACATGGTAGAATTTTATCTCTTCAGTACATGGTAGAATTTTGATCACTTCAGTTTACAATATTCTTGCCTGCTTACTATGTATTAACATGTTATAAAACTGGGAACACAAATTCTAAATTATATTTCCACTTACCCATGCTTTCCATATTTACTGGTTCCTCTTCCTCAGTAGCTAAAATAAAATAAAATAAAATAATATCAAATGTCCATTTGTAAATCATTACAATCTCTTACCAGACTTCAAAATATGAAACACAAATGCAAATATACAATGAAGACTTAAACTAGCTTATGAATAATTATATGCAAATAAATGTCTTTCTAAGAGAGTTATCAGTGAGATATTTGCTATGGCATTTGTTATATGGAATTATTTATATTGTAATGAAATGATCAAAAGTAAAAGTAAATCCCCCAACACTTAATTCTGCACCTGTTTGGCTTTATGACAGCAAACATATCTCATTTTATTTGATACATAAAACAATAATCACTTTGCTGATATAACCCATTAAATAAGAGAGAATCCTACCAGGCAATACTGGCTTTTGTTTCTTTTTGCCAGGTGCTGACTTCTTCTGGCGGCCTTGCGGGGATTTTGGAGCCATGGTTCTGACGTAGTCTGTATAAGCAGATAATGTCATCAGCAAATTCTGGTTCACAATTTCAGCTACTACGCATTACCACGTGGTGAACATAGCGATGTATTTTCTAGGTTTTGCCTGAACTAAACTAGGATAGGTATTCTGTGACCAAAGGTTCATTGCAGAAACATTACCGCTAAGATCTGGTTCCAGCAGAACCATTCAGCCAGCACAAGATGGCGACCTGCCAAAACATGAAGGTTTCAGTGTAGGACCCGCCATGGGAACACAAGAGGGCGCCGTCTCCCCTCACCTCTCACTCTAGTTTCCATCTTAGGTGCGCACTCCGTGCCGCCTTGTGCTGGGCTCCCTAAATGTACCCTAGCTACAAAGAGGAGTTTAAAGTCTTCCAGGAAAGGCCGGTAGACAAAGTGCATTCACGTACATAATTTTTAAATTAACATAATTTAAACCAGCCGTTTGTCTTAGCCTGTGTTCATGTAAGCACTAAGGCCTTGTTTGTGCTGTCAGAGAAAGGGTGTCTCTGGAAGTATTCTACGGAATTGTCATTTTTGACAGGATGGAGCACTAGCCAAGATTGTCATCATGGCAGCAGGTCCTTGTGTTCTCCAGGATGCCCACCTCTGCCCCGTGCTGTTTAATGGTTATTTCAGGAGTCTCACCAGGAAGGATTTAAAAACAGGCCCTGCTTTTTACTTGCTCAGTGACCTTGGATCAATTACTATCTCCTCAGCCTTAGTGTATTCATCCATTTAATGGGGATAATAATAAAATCTGCCTTCACAAGGTGATTGTAAAGACTTAATAAGATTAATAAAAAATTCATAAAACTAGGGCTTGCCTCATTTCAATAAATCACACAGATTCATTGTTATTTCATAGTCTATACTCAGTATATCAGAAGTTTAAATTTCTACCTTGTTCTTTGATTGTAAAAGTTTGACCAAAGTGTGAGCGTCTGCGTCCTTGCCTAGAAGTATTTTTCTCTTCAGATTTTTCTCCACGTGTGTTTGCAAATGGGGATGGTGATGGCTCACAGTTGTAGAGAGCTTTCCATGAGCCAGGCACAGCTCTAGAGGCACTTTGCAGGCATTTAGTTTACTCCTAACTGCAGTTTTATTTGCTGTTATCTTTATGCCACCTTATGATGAGAAGACAGAGGCTCTGAGAGGTCAGGAGGCTTTGCTGAGAGGACATAGAGAGCCTTTGGGCTATCCTTTTAACCTCTGCCCCTGCCTGTCCTTCAAATTCAGAGAACCCTGCTGTGTTTTATTATAACTGAAGCTATCTAAAATTATGGTCTTTGTCTACACAGGTGCAATTTATGATTTAGTCAACATTGCATGACTCTGACCATTTAGAAATTTCTGTTTCCAAAATACTCTGCAGTGAGTGAGTGGCCCCTCAGCTTTTCAGACTAAGGGTCCCCCATTCCCGCTTTCCACCCTCACCATAACTTCACACGTTAGCCTTAATCCTTCCTTTGGACAATTCCTTATCAAGGTACCTCTCTCCGTTTTCTAGTCTAGCTACATTTGGCTTAAAAGATACAAAAACACTCTAAATACCACCTAGCTTCACCCTACACGCACATGCACACGAGCACGCACACATGCACATGTGCACGCATCACCCCTCTTCATTACACATATATTTATTGACCAGAGTGCACCAAAGATTGTCCTAGTGTTGGAGCTGCAGCAGTGAACAAAAGAGGCAAAAAAAGTGCTTGTCCTGATAAATCTGACCTGGGGGGGACGCAGACCATGAAGAAATAAAGGAACCAAATAATTAATATTTAGATATTTAGATGCTAAGTAAAGGAATAAAGTAGGAAGAGCAGAGGAAAGGTAGGCTGTGATTTCATACTGAATGACGCAAGTGTTGTAAATGACATGAGGGGAAAGACCTCAGAGAATGGGGCAGCCAGAAATGCAGACACCTGGGAAAAGCAGAGTGTTCCTAGACAGAGGGAACGGTAGGCATAAGGTGTCAGGGCTAAAAGTGTACTGGGCGGGTCACGATGGCCGGAGCAGACAAGCAACTGGGAGACTAGAAATGAAGGTAGTCCAAGAGGTGATCGGGATATGTTAGTCGGCTTTGTTGCAGTAACAAATGGCCCCGAACGCTCTGTCTCATACAGCATTGGTTTCTTCTCAAGCATTATATTATGGCTGTGGATGAGCTGCTGCAAGTCTTCTTATTCCAGAGGCCAGGCTGAAGGAGCAGCCCTGGCTTGACATACACCAGCGCAGACGGAAAAGCCAGTGACCTAAAGGAACCCTATGATGTTTGCTAAGTCTTCTCCTTGCCATTGGTTCGCTGTCCCTTCAGCTCATGTTCTAATGGCCCAAGCATGCTCCAGGCAGTTCTGAGATGGGAGAGTACTCTGCCTTCTTAGCCAGAGGTGGGAATGTATGACTTCCTCACAGGGAAGGAAGGAATAATAGAGAATAAGGTAGTGGGGAACAGTTGTACAATATATCAGAAGGTTGTGTATGAGGACTTTGGCTTTTACTCTGAATAAGGTGGGGAGTTACTGGATGGTTTTAAACTGAGGAGCTGCTTTATACAACCTGACTCAGCATGTGTGTGCATGTGTGTGTGTGTGTGTGTGTGTGTGTGTGTGTGTTGCTTTACTGAGGGTGGAACCCATGACTTACACTGAGCTCCATCCCCATCCCTTTATTTTCCATTTTGAGAGAAGATCTCATCAAGTTGTGTAGGATGGCCTCAAACTTGCAATGCTCCTGCCTTAGCCTCCTGTGTAGCTGAGATTAGAAGCATGTGCCACCCACCTGGGCTGACACATTTTAATGATCAGTAGTAGGTACACTATGTTGAGAAAAGACTGCAGCAAGAAAAGGGCTGAAGCAAGGGTCCAATGAAGAGCCATTCAGTAATCGGTAGGAGAGATGATGGCAGACAAGGTCAGGAAGTGCCAGTGGGTGGAAAAAGCGAATGGGGCTGAGCATGGTGGTGCATGTCCATAGCCCCACCTATTCAGAGGCTGAGGCAGGAGGACTGCTTGAGACTAGGAGTTCACGGCTAGCCTGGACAATGAGACACTGTCTCTTAAAATATGACTGGATCCTAGATACGGCGCTAATAGGATTTGCTGTTGACTTGGGTTGTAGGGCCTGAGAGCTCAAGGATGACTTCAGTGAATTTTGCCTAAGGAAAGGAAAGCATGGAGTAGCTATTAATTGTGTTGTGGTCCTATGGGAAAAGGGTATTTGAAAGGGATTCTGTGACCTATGAAGATGGGAATTGTGTTTTCACTTCCATTGACATAACCCCTGTAAGTGGCACAGTGAACATAATGAAACGTGTTTTTCGAAAGTTGAACTAATGACCGTCTGGTTTTCTATTCCCTGCTGCCATTCTCTGTGAATCTCCAGTCTGAACAAAAGGCTCTTTGCCTAATGGTCTGTGGAATTATCTTCAAAGTCAGTGTGAGTATAAGGAGGCCCTTCTTGGATACTATACTCGAGCCTCCTCTCCCTCTCCCCTCTTCCAGGTATGAGGGCACCTGTGATTACACCGGTTTCACCTATATAATCCAAGGTAATCTTCTTATTTTGTCATCAGCTGATTAGCAACTTTAATTCCATACTCTTAATCCTTCTAGCCATGGATAGCAACAGATTCACAGGTTCCAGCGATCAAGAGGTGCTCCCTTGGTATTAAGCTCCAGTATAGGTATCAGTTTAACACAGTCTTCCCCCTCAGTACTCAGGGTCAACATATGTGCATTTCTTTTCAAATGCAGCTAGTAAACGATCTATGGGCAATTTGATTGAATTTCCTATTTTCAGGGAGATACAACAAATTTTTAGCAGTAATGTTTTGGTTTGGGGTTTATTGTAAGGGGAGACAGTATAATATAGGAAACATTTTATAAAATTATTTATAATAGTCACCCAAAGGATCATACACAAGAGAGTGCAGGAAATCTGTCTACACACTAAGACCAAGGAATCTAGCCAAAGTCCTGGATCCCATGGAAATATCCTGCATGAGTCCATCTAAGAGACCTAGAGCTCATAACTGCCTCCCAAGAGTCAACCTGGAGGCCCAGAGCCCATAACAATATCTCATACACGCCTGTTTCACGGTTCTGCCTTGGGAAGGCCTAAAGGTCAGTGGTGGAATCTAGGAAGTCTGTGCCAGCAGGATGAAGGGTCTGAGCTAGCAGGCTGAGGGACCTGCACTGAAGCCAGGAAGTGAAGAAACAGTGAGGTCCCAACCTCCTTCAGTGATGAAGACAACTGAGTTCTCATCAGGGAAGCCAAAGCAGCAAGCTTTTCCAGGAGACTGGCAGTGCATCATCTTCCCCTCTGGAGCCAGGAACCAGGAATGGTACCAGGAATGCTCAAAGTGAGGACCAGAAAGTGAAATGAAGCTATTCTCAGTGCCAACAAGGTCCCGAGCTCCTTGGGGGATGAGAACAGCCAAGTTCATCAGCATGACAAGCCAGCATGACAAGCTCCTCCAACAGAACCAACAACTCCTTACAGCTTCTAACAGCTTCCAACAGCCTAACTGCTTTTTTCAGTTTTGCTTCTTATGCTGCTGACAACAATCCTCAGGTGGGCCTCCAACACCAAGCACCACGCTTACTCAGTTCAGCTGGGGGTTATAAATTGACCACCCGTTGTCAATCCACCACAAGTAAATTAGGCTACACAATTGAAACCAGTATTATAAATGCATGCTGCATTATCAGAACAGCTTATTTACAATTTTCACAAATACTCATTAACTTCTCTGTCTACATTATTGACTCATAATCAAGAGCAAAGGAGAACTAGGTTGTGCTGCAGGGCTTTAGAGTCCTAAGCCTTCTTAATTAGACAGCATGGTATCTTAGTTACTAGGCATCATAGACAGAAGTTTTGTTTGCTGAGGGTAGACTGGTTAATACAGTCTTAACTGAAAAGAAAATGATTACTTTGAAAGTACCTCCCTTAAATTGCACTTGTATTTTAGGAAAATTTTCACATTCAACCCAGCTACTTCCCTTCTAGGTATTTTCCCAGAAGAATTAAAAACATCATACCTCAGCAATGTTTAGAGTAGCACAATTTGTCATAGCTAAATTTTGGAAACAACCCAAATACCCATGAACTGAGGAATGGATAAAAAAGATGAGGCCTTTTTATAAAATGGAGTACTACTCAGCTATAAAGAGGGATAAAGTTGAGACATTTATAGGGAAATGGACATAACTTGAGACCGCACTCATAAGTGAAATAAATCAGACTTGCGTGTGTAAACAACATATTGTCTCCCAAGTGTAAGAAGCTGAAAGGGTAAATAAGGTCCAAAATGTACAACAGACATTGTGAAATGGGAAGAAACTGTTCAAAAGGAAAGAGAAACTGGGATGAGGGGAGGGAGAAAAGAAGGGAAAAGGAAAAATAAATAAATAAATAAATAAACATGATAGTTAAGACAGTTATATTAATTACTGTTAGTTCACTGAAAAGAAAGGTTTGTGCCTATAATGTTTGATTAGTTTTTCATGCCTCTATCTTGTAATATGAGCAGCTACTTTGAAGATAACAATGCACAGTGTACTAACCATTGTTCCTCTCCTACACTCTTGTTTTGAAATTTTGTACCACTGCTTTTTTCTTTAAAAGAAAAAAAAAAATTGACAGTTTCTTTTAGCAATTGCATATAAAAATCCTGTCAATCTTATGTCTAGAAAATGAATCACTTTTAATTGGAGATATTAAATCAAATGAATAAAAAAAATCAAATGAAAAATGTAGTCTGCATAATTTCAATAAGTACATTTTTTTCAAGGCTTATTTTTATGGAGATATTTCTTTTTAAATGCAAATGTCAACTAAAAGAAAATGTTTTCACATTGTACCAGGGCTTATTGAAAGTCTTTTTCAGAACATTAATTGCATTTTTTACACAAAGAACATGATATCTTTTCCCAATGTACTTTTCTATTGAATTAATTATTAAAAATTATGAAAATTTTTCAATACTAGATACTACTTTATTAATTCTGAAATACTCACATTTTTCCTGTTCTCAACTAAAATCATTTTGTACTTAGCAACAGAGCTGATCAGATTTCAAAACAAATTGTTGAAGGCAACACTTAGAAATGTGTAAGCACTTCATTAAAATATTTTTGATATTAAAATCATGTATCTTTATAAAATGACCGATTCCAGAATATCTTTTTGCTATCAATGTACAAAGATCGTATTTTCTACCATTTGTGTTAACAAAAATAGATTTTATGTTTCAGTCAATGTTTATAGAGAAGCAGATATAACACAATATATACAAATGTGTAAGAAATTACAAGATTGGCATACAGCGGTCACCCACAGAGTCGAATGAGGAAGCGTGCAGAGGATGTCTGCACACTGGAGACCCAAGGATTCAGCGCAAGGTCTGGAGCTCAATGCAGTGCCCCATACAAGTCTGCATCAGGAGGCCGATGGACCTGCCGTGGAAGGCCGAAGAGTCTATACTGGAAGCCAGGAGATGACGTCCAAAGTGAAGGCAAAGACTAGAGCTCCTCCAAACAGAAGCACATTAGACCTTCCTCATTTCCCCTTTACACCACCCAGGCAGTGAGCTGTAGGGTGGATATTCCACGTCCTAGGGTGTGAATTGCTGTGCCAATTTAGTTGAGCTTCTCTTACTCAAGTTGACACAATCAGTCAACCAACCATCACACTTTAGAGGCTGACAAATGTGGGTATTGGTTAGTCCTCTCTATAGGATTTCAAAATCTGTGAAGTCCTCTACTGGCTCTGTGGAACACTGTGCTCCAAGCTGTCCACAACCTGGTCCCAGGTTAACTCTCCAGTCCTGTTTGTGACTAGCTTTCTTATGATGCTGCTAATACTTAGCTGCTTAGCTTCAGCTACTGCAGCTGAAGGGATAAGTGACGAAAGTTGCCTGCCAACATCCACAGTACTTGAACAGCTATTAATTTCCTCTTTTCTCCTTGTTCATGTGGTGCACTCCGCCCTTGGCATTCTCCCATTTCCTGTAATGTGTGTGTGTGGCTTGCTCCAGTCATGAGATCCTAATTCTGAAAAGATCTACAGCAATGGCATCTTTTCTTCACCGAGGATCTTCCTTAGGAAATCATTTATTCCCAAGTCTTCCTCAATTAGCTGACTTTGTCAAAGTGGTTATCATTCTTTTCTCATTCTAATGTACTTTCAGACTCACCATAGTTGCCTCCCATCTTTTTTTTTTTTTTTTTTTAAGAACACAAAGATCTAGAATAAAAGACAAGGCTAACATCCTGGGCATCTGGTAACATGTCCTCAAGAACTTCTGCTTCTTGGAAAATCTTCTCTAAGACACTGATTAGCCTTCAAGGCTCTCCTGGGCCCTTCAGCTGTTTTTTGAGAAGCACAAAATATCTACCCCTCAGAGATAACTGTCCCTAAAATGTTTCCTACGAGTCTACCACTCTTCCTTTGCCCCTGCATGTCTACTCCACAGTTCTACTTCTAAGGTTGGACAGTTAGTTATTCATTCACACAGATACTCTTCCCTTTGAAAGGGGTCCTGAAGTCTGACCTTTCCTCTCCCATAGCTTCCTCTAGTTCAGGCCTCCCACATGTTCTTCTGGACCAGAACTCCTAATCCATTTGGTATCATGAATCCCTGTAATAACCTGGTAAAGTCCATGCGTTAAATAAACATGCAAGATTACACCAGGGTATACGGAAATACAGTTATTAAAATGTTTTAAATCTATAATGTATTCATTCATGTGCTTCCTTATTATCATTACACTGAACAATAAGATTTAGCAGTAGTTCTAACTGCCCTAATTTTGAAGTATTGATGAGCCAAATAATATATCTGCAATATTTGTAGCTTAACACAAAAAGAGCTAAAATTTCTCTTGGTAACTACATCATAGATACTGCTAATGCTTCTGTGGTTTGTTACCCAATACACACATTTCATTTAGCAGGTAGTGAAAATAAAAATGTACATATATATTTTAAATCTGCATATTCCACTCCTCCACATTCTAACCTGAGTCATGACACTTAACTGGCCTCCTTGCCTGTGTGCTCACGGAAACAATCACAGTCTGTCTGCAGATGCAAGTCTTATTAAGTCATTTATCTGTGTAGTGACATACTTGGGAGCAATACTAGGAATTAAACTCGGGGCCTTCATACTGAGCTACGCTGCCAGCCTTTAAAATTTTTCATTTTGACAAGGTCTCAATACATCACTCAGTTGCCTAAGATGCTCAAACTTGCAATCCTCCAGCACCAGCCTCTCAGAGTGCTGGGATTACAGGTGTGTGCCACCAAGCCTGGGTCTATGTGAATCCTTATTGTCCATAGCAGTGTGCTCTTCCAATATTATAAAAATGAAGTTCATTTAAAAGGTAAATATCCTGAGCCCCCTTGTATTCTGCAGGTCTACCTGAGCTTGGGACCCTACATTTTAAAAGCATTACAAGGCTGACCTGGACTTCTACAAGCATTCATAGAAGAGGGTAGGGTCCCAACTTGTAAGTATGGCCTTCAACACCCTTCATAGCCAGCCTCATCCACCCGCCTTTCCCGTTCTGGTCCGTTCTCATTGGGTTACCACTCATCCTCAAATATTTTCAAATATTTTCTCTCTCCGGAGAATACCTTTCCCTCCAGCACCTTCTGCTTTGCCTGTCCCTGTCCTACCTGTATTTCTCTCCTCACACTGTACTCATGGTTCTAGGCTTAACTCCAGTATGACCTCTTAGTAGCCTCCCTGTCTGTCTCAGGCTGAAATAATGTTGTTCTCCCCAACATTCTAATCACACTATGTGCAATTAATTATGCCAGGCCTTAGTCAAGGCAGAGTGAGTGCCTCAAATGCAGAGCTGCCTGGAAGACTGCTGTGAATTCATTCAAAATCCAGCATACACAAAGAAAGAGAGAGGATGGACTGATCAGTAATTGGGTATGAGGTAAACTAATCGTTGGAAGAACTAGACAAGAGCTTTACTTTCAAAGCGTTACCTATTCCTCTTCCTGTTTGTCTTCCAGCCCTTCCTCAACAGGCCAGACATCGCCTCTCGGCTTCACCCCACATTAATCTTTCTTGACCCCCACACTGATAAATAACCAGAATCACGTTATTTTCATATTAATTAATTAATTCATTCATTCATTCATGATTTATTGAGCTCTCACTATGTGCCAGGTAATGTGAGAGTCGCCGAAGGTGTACAATCTGTAAACAAGGCAGTACATTCATTCATTCATTCATGATTTATTGAGCTCTCACTATGTGCCAGGTAATGTGAGAGTCGCCGAAGGTGTACAATCTGTAAACAAGGCAGTACTGCCCTCCGCGCACTCTTAGAGCATCGTTAACTGCTCTCTCGTTGCTATTTTTGTTTTCCTACCTAAATTAGAAGCGCTTTGAAAGCAGTGGAAATCCTATTTATTAATTTTTGTAGTCATTTCAACAACTAGCACATCCCGGGAAGTTTCCAGACTCCCTTGCAAGAGTGAATAAAACACTTTTTCAACACCTCCTTTTCCTTTCAGAGCTGGCCTTACCTGATACAGTATTACGAAAGTGAAGGGAAGGAAGCCTCGGCAGTACTCTGGAGAAAAGCTCCTTTGAGAGCTGGAGATGGGAGTTTTGACTCTCAGAAAAACAAATTCCAGCAGCACAAACGTCTCGCCTGGGCGTTGCTGGGACGCATCCGTTACTAAGAGAAAAGAGGCAGGTCCTTTGTTAAGATTGACAAAGCAGCCTTACCAATACAGTGTCCACTCTCTAATAGTCTTTTTTAGCACAGGCTGTGATTGGCTCTTATGATGTGACGTCACGAAACAGCAATCCGGCGAAGTCTGCACTGCTGAAAGAGTTTCCTTGGCGAGGAAAGAGCTTAGCCAGTTAGTTATACAAAAGTAGTGACCCGGCCCATAAAGCCCTCAGGGTACTTGCTCCCCGAACCCGCGGCGGGGAGCTGGAGCCCTCTTAGGAACTCGTCCTTAAATTTGGGTTTGGGGAGGAAATTGGGTCCGGCAGGATGGTGGGTGGCCCAGAATTGCTAATGTGTTGTATTTCCCTTTTGCCAAAATAACTTGGGTAGAGCGTTTGACTCAAGCTGGAAGTATGCATCTCAGGGGAAAAAGTCTGAATCCCTGAGTAACGCTAAGGATCATTTTATCTAAGATTATGGGTCCTAGGGGACTTACAGCGAGAAACACATCCCTGAACAGTTTCCCTCCTTTCTTTTAAAAAATAATTATCACTGCCTAGTCTGTAACCTGGGACAATTTAATAAAGCAATGCAGTGGACGGCCGTAATTGATCTAAATTAATTCTTTACATCAGTTTTCAGAAATACTTAATAGAAAAAGACATAGATTTATAACATCCGTGAGACTTAATCCTAAATGAAGATCAAAATTTTATGTAGATCATGGTTGGTTTTTTTTTCAAATTTCTGAAGAGTTTGTATTTGCAAAAGCAAAATATATTTTACTGTAGGCTCAGGAGAAACTGCCTAGGAAGAAGTCTTACGTAAACGTTACAACAATCTTTCCTGTCCTCTTCACTTGCCGGCACTGAGAGATTGGTTTTCCCCTAATCTCGGTCCCTCCTCCTTGTATTCTTCGCACTCTCCTGGCGGCACCATATTCATTCTCCTTAGCTTCAAACACCACCTCTAAAGACATTAGTGCCTTTAGTGTCTGCACGTCTCAGCCTAATGCATCTCTTGAGCTGCAGACCAGAATTTCCACAAGCCTTTGGATCCTTCTCACTACCCATCCAGTTCAGATCTTGGTGCTGAATAGTTAACTAACTAAAAATATGGAATGAACGAGTGAATGGAGGAATCACTGTACCACGAGCATCACAGCTTAGCAGAATCAAAGTCAAATCAGGTATCTTTCAGAAAGATGTTTTTCCTTTAGTTCCCATTTTAGATGACATTACTTTCTATCAATTAGCAAAACTAGAAATCTGAGTCATCCCCTGCCTCCTCTTCCACTGCTCAGTAAAGATATTGTTAAATCTTATCATTTATCTTTGCTAAGTATCTAATAATACATCTCCACCTCATATCAGATATGTTTTATCTCTCACCCAGATAGTAGCAACAGCCTCCTATTCTATCTTCTCTAATTTATTTGCTAAGTTGCCATGCAGTATTCTAAATCAAGGATTCAACCCTGGCATTACCTTGTTTAAATATCCTCAATCTGGCATAGAAAACCCTGTGCAAACAGTTATGAAGGATAACTGAAAGATGCCTAGAAGACAAGTTATGAGTTATTTTGGAGGCCTCATTTCCTGTCTCTCTTCCTTAGGGTAACCCATGTTATTTCCAGTGAAAGCCTGGGAGAGCCGAACGGCCTGAAACTTCAGTGGGGGTGGGGTGGTAGTAGGCTGATGGGAAGAGGAGTGACAGCATGAAACAGATTTCTGCAACTAAAGTCTACTTTGCTTTATATAGGGAGTTCACAAGGTTTTCAAATTATGCTGCACAATCTATTCATATTTATTATAATTTTTAAAAATGCATCAACTCACCCCTAGGTAAACTGACATAAAATTAAACGAACACAAAGAAACATCAGGCAAACTGTGACCTGCTCATCCCTTGGTTTTCCATAGCCCCTAACATACTACTGCTCAGGTCCAGGAGTTTGTGGGTCCCAGGGGGAGACCAGAGCTCTGGTTACACAGGGCTCCTGATAGGCCCCCAAATATGCCTTGCTTATTCATGCCTATATATCTGTTCAGCCTGCTGCCTCTACCTCCATCTCCACCTTCCCCCGTGATACCTTTCTTCATCTTTGTTATTTGATAACCTTTATTTGTCAAGTCTCAAAGGTTACAGTCTCTGCAAAGCCAGACAAGCACCAGATTCTTCCATCAGAGTATTACACTGTGCAGCAGTAGCTTGTTTACATGGATGTCTCGCCTTATAGATTTTAGTGTTGGAATAGACTCATTCTTTTACATTTCCAGTAACAGGATATGATGTGCTTTTGGCTGACTATTATTTAAATCAAACCTAGAAGAAGATAACAAAAGCTTCTTTGTGATCTTTCAAAGAATTTGTTTTTCCTAAAAAAATTCATAATCCTTTGCAGTCAGATTTAAGGAAGTAAGGATTAGAACCTTGTGATTTGGATGAGACACCCAGCCATTCTGTCATATTTTCTTTAAGAGATACCCCAAGGGGATGTACTTTTAGAGGAATGAGTCAGAAGTCACAACACCAAAAAGTTAGAAATTAAGTGGTAAGTGTTTAGTCATTGCTTCATGATACAAATTCACCACTGACTGGTCATCTGTTCTTTTGTGGGAGTTGTTAGAAATGAAACATCACCATGGTAGTTACAGGGGATTTGCCTGAAATGGAGATATTTAAAAATTGGCTTTGGTTTTATGAAGTGAAGACGTAAGAGTCATGAAGTTACAACTGAAAATACTTCTCTGATTATTTAAGGACATTGCAATACACTTCTTATTGGATTTAGAGAAGATAATCTGATAACTTAGGTACAAACTGGATTTTGACTAATTCTGTATATATTTTAAGATGGTAGCTCAGAAACTAGGGATGGAGGACCTTGGACAAGGAGCCTTTGTAACTTCTGTTTGTCCACATCAGCATGACAGGGAGGGGTGAAAGGGAAGAAATATCCTTGTTTGATCCCTAAACTGCTGGAATTACTACATCTTTTCCAAAATGTTTGGGGGGATATTATCGCCACCCTGTGCATGAGGAGCTGAGGACCATCTCAGATGAATATTCAGCTTCAGAAATGAGAAAACCGGATAAAAAACCCTGACCTGGGAACAAAGTTTTAGCTGTTAGAGGAAAGGACCAGTTGTGACAATCCTGCGGGGGTGGGGAGGACCTCAGTGAAATATGGGAAACTGTGCAATCCGAAAGTGAAGAGAAAGGCATTCCTTCGATTTCTGCAGAGAATGGCTTGAGTCTACTAGGGACTAAGGAGGACACAGGCTCTACCCGGCTAAGAATTGCTGGCCGTTCCCATAAGGCCCTACAGCTGAGCTACAGGCTGTAGTGGAAATCCCCTGAGGGACCAGCGCAGCAGCAGAGGAGGAAAACACTATGGCTGTGTGGTAGCAGAGTGGACTTCTGTGCGCACAGGTGCGCTGCTGCCGACCCCCAGGAAGCGTGGGTGGTGGGTAGAGCCGCGATATGCGACAGTCCAAATAATACCAGCCGCTTCTGGAGCCAGGGAATACCAGTTCCACAGGCCTAATGGTTTTCACCAGTAGGTAAAGTATTTTTAAAGTAACAAAAACTGTATTTAAAGTAAGAAACTTGTGTCGAAGCCTAAACGCACTTTCTGGATAAGTGGAATGAGACAAACTATTAACCTCTCTGTATTTCAGTTTTATATCTGCAAAATGAGGGATGATGATGCTCTTGTCAGAACAAGCCAAAGGGTGGGAAGCAGCACATGGCGCCACGGGAACAAACCTCCGAAGGTAGGAAACTTCGCGGTCCTGAACTGTACATAGAGCGTCCTTTAGTTGCAGTTCCCACAGAGAGCTTTTTACTTACCTGGAAACAGAACTGATTCTTCTTTCAATCAAGTAGGAAGCTTCAGATGGTGGGAAAAAGAGTTCCCCATGACATCAAGAGATCGCGAGACCAATAGGAATTTATTGAAGTGAAGAGGTGTCTGCTACACGTTGTTGAAAACAGCAGGTTACCAAGCAGTAAATATGGTATTGCCAATTTTTAAATTTTCAAAAATGCATTAATATATAGAGATGTCATGAAATCACCTAGAATGATGTCCACTTAACTGTTTTAATCTGTCTCTGGGTGTGAAATGCTGAGCACATTTCCTTTTCGCGTGAGAGCATTTTTGACTGGTGTTATAAAATATTTCTAAGGAGGAATTAAGAATTACTGTAAGTATGTGAGTTAATAGCTATGCTGATTAGTTGGACTGGTGTAATCATTTCACAGTGTGTATATATCAAAACATGATGTTGCATACCTTGAGTATATATGATTTTATTCGTAATTATACTCACTTAAAAAAAAAGAAAAGAAATTTCCCAGGGAGATCCGTGGAGGAGGAATATAAAAGGAAAGGTCTTTTGGGAGTGGTAAGGCCAAGGAAAAACCAAATCCTGTCTAAAATTTTAGCGCTCCAGCTAAGGAGCAGGGTTACTGATTGCTGCTTTTGTCTCGGTCTCTTGCAGAGCTCTGCAGGGCGCTAGAATTATCCTTTCTTTCTTTCTTTCTTTCTTTCTTTCTTTTTTTTTAAATTTTGACGTTGTGTTTCTCATGGTAGTTCGGTTTAAAAAAATATTTGCATTGAGGTATTATTTATCTTGGGAGGGAAAAGGCAGTACTCCTATTTCTGGGGTTACATTATATTTTCCAAATTGCATTAGAGAATTGAGCGCAGCAGTTATATCCTTTGGGTATTGATCTTGTCTATAACACTTGGGATTCAAATTAATAAACAGCATAAAATTCTTGTGCCCCACTGCGACAAAAGATGATTCCATTTATAAATTGTCCACGCAAACTGACCTAGTATTTGAAAAATAAGAGGTTTTTTAAAGGGTCCGATAGCTCTCGATGTAATTTCTGGAATACCCTGTTAGGAAAATTCATTGACTTTTACAAACTTACTCTGGGCTCAGAATAATAAAAATGAGTAAGTTAAAACAAATCCCGATTGAGTGTAATTGAAATTAACCAAAGTTCCTGCTCTATTCCTGATAAGGAGTAGGCTG